GAACTGTGTATCCAGTGGTGCAGTTAATGCTAGACATTAAGGTTGAGCATTAATGTATAAGAGCTGCCCCACAGTCCACCGGGCAGCTCTTTTATATTGCAGAAAGCTCTGCTCTTCCAGATGCTGTTTAAAACTCAGTAACATGTTTTTGTTTTTTGTAGGCACTGTGGGTTAAACCACAGAGCCTAGGACTTGCTGATCAGAAGGTCGGCAGTTCAAATCCCCGCGATGGGGTGAGCTCTCATTGCTCGGTCCCTGCTCCTGCCAACCTAGCAGTTCGAAAGCACGTCAAAGTGCAAGTAGATAAATAGGTACCGCTCCAGCGGGAAGGTAAACGGCATTTCCGTGTGCTGCTCTGGTTCGCCAGAAGTGGCTTAGTCATGCTGGCCACATGACCCGGAAACTGTACGCCGGCTCCCTCAGCCAATAAAGCGAGATGAGCGCCGCAACCCCGGAGTCGTCCACAACTGGACCTAATGGTGAGGGGTCCCTTTACCTTTACTTTTAACATGTTTTTTCTTTGGGATAATGATATTCTTAAGTGGGGAGGGGCACACAAGTGTCTTACAGTATGATTATCAACCATTCAAAGCAGACCTCAGCTACTGTGTTCATGTGTATGCTTTGGCACTGGAGACAACAAATCCAACTCTAACTGAGAGATTTAACTTCTAGGAACACTGAGAAGGGAGTTGAAACTTTAGGACTGATAAGTCTAGTAAGTCACACACACACACACACACACACACACACACTTTAATATATATAATTGATTTTCCAATATCAGTGCAATAATAAGCTCATTATAACAATACCTTTTTATCTACCTATTAATGCCAATTATTCAAATGTCAAATTATACAGTTTAATTAAACTGGCCCCCTCGCATGCTAGACTTGTTGAGTTCATTCTTCTACATTTTTTCTGCATTCCAAAATTTTATTAATTTCCATTCCATTCAGATATAATAATCCCTTATATAACAGCTACAAACTTGTGATTTCAATTTGTGTTGGTATAATAGGTAATATATAAAGTTTCAAGTGAGGAACTTTATCTGTAATCCTTCTACTTTCTTGCATGTGACCATTTTTTCCATGATGTTTTTCAATCCATATATATATATATATATATATATATATATATATATAGTGTTGTATCCTTTATTCCTGCAACTGTTGTTGGTTCCTGTCATGTCTCGGGAGAAGCTGTTATCTCACAGTTTCCAAAAGCCACTGAATTGCCTTGTTTTGGGAATTGTGGTGGAAACTGTGCTACAGATTCCTACCCCACCCCCTCACCACACTACAGTTCCCAGGAGTTCATGGGTAAAGGAAACCCATAGAGGATGTTGGTGCACACTGAAGACAATTTTATTCCACCGGCCCCTCCCAGAAGGATAATCCTGGCCTGTTAATTTTGGAGCAGTATAATGCTATTTTAGCAGGATTTTATCTAATTATCAATATAGCATATTGTATTGATTTCTGTTTTGTACATTAATTTGAGGTTCTTTGGAATACAAAGCAATTAAGAAATTTTCTCAATAAATGTTATCAAGCCAGTTTAAATCTGAAGTATCTACGGCAGGCACAGTTGACATGGAGCCCAGCAGATCTGGTTGACTCCTGTCATCCTGGACCATTAGTCATGCCAGCTGAGCCTGATAGGAGTTGTAGTCCAACATCTGGAAGACATCATTTTGGCTATTGCTGATCTACAGGCCAATGAATCCTGGCTGCCTTACAGGAACCAAAGGGAAGGGAAGTAGAATTTTGCACAATAGTTGATTTCATTGAATATCCCATAGTTAAGACAACTTGGTGGTGTTTGTTAAAATTCTGACAGTCAGACATTTCTTCCATTTCTGTTCTCTACTGTCATTCCAAATGCTGTCATTAAATCAAAAGGGGTTTTGCAAAGGGTTATTTGTGGAAAGAGGCAATGAGTCATCCAGCCCCGAAAGGATTAATCAAATACCACATTAAACACACACACACACACAGAGAGAGAGAATTATACATAGCTGAAATGTCATAATGTCCTCCATTGCACCAATATCTTTAACTAAGGACTTCTTATATTAGAATGATAGATTAAATAGAGGTCAAAACTTCACTCACACACAGTTTGGATTTTTAAAAAATTGTGACATTTGATTCTTCCGTTTGGGACCAGATTAATCATTGTCTCTTTCCATAAAGTGTTTAAAGCACTTTGTATCAGCAATCGTCCCAGCAACCATTTCAAACATATGAAGGTGTCTTATACTGACTCTGACCATTGGTTTATCTAACTCAGTATTGTTTACATAGTCATGTGTTAGCTCCCCCAGGTTTCAGATGAAGGACATTCCCAGTTATACCTGGAGATGAAAGGGTTTGGAACTGGAACCTTCTGCATACAAAGCTTATGCTTGACCACTGAGCTATGACCATTCGTCTAAATAGGCCAATATTATTATTATCCTGATACTGAAGATGGAGAAACTAGTGAGCTTATGGTTCAGGTAAAGTTTGAATCAGGGAGTCTGTTGCTATCAAATCCAGCTTGCAGGAAGTGGCAGTGGGAGAGTGCTGTTGTGTTAGGTTCCCTCTTGTGGGTTTCCTAATGAGGCATCTGGTTGGCCACTATGAGGACACGATGTTGGACTACATGGGCCACTGGTCTGATCTAGCAGGTTCATCTTTTCTTCTTATGCTTCTTGAGGTCCACAGGCATAGGCAAGGTTCTTGGACATGTATAATCTACTTACTGTAGGCTCAGTTTTCTGGCCTATAACATCAAGCTGAAAGGGATTGACTAGTACAGAGCTGAATTGGCCTTTTCACCATTGCAGGCACTATCCAGCTCAACTATTTCAGTGTTCACTCGGAACTTCTTAAAATGTTCAGGGAGTAGGTGACTTTGGGTCATATCCAATGTTAGTCTTTTTCTGAGTAGAGCCATTTAAGTGAATGAATACACCCATAGTAGTTGGGTGCACCCCTTCCTTTTGCAGAAGTTCACGCCAGTGGGTTCTCTTTCTCCTACCAACACTACTATCACCACCACTATTTCTCTTTAATCTCCTGCTATTTGTCCTCCTAATTTTCCTCTTTCTTCCTTCCTTTTAAAAGAAAGAAAGCCCCAATGGAAGCACTTCTCCAATCCAGGGGCATGTCATCTCACAGTGCCTCTGTGGAAGGATCTTTGTAGCTGTATTGTTAGGGCAGCAAGATGTATCTGGGAAGGGATGCTCACTTCCTCAGAAGCATTGTGGGTCGATATGGCCCTGGAACATAGGAAGCTGTCTGTATACCTTCTCAGTACAGTAGTACCTCGCGTTACCCTCTGGTTACGTAACCTTCAGGATGCGAACACGGCAAACCCGGAAGTATTTTTCTGGGTTTCGCCACACGCGCATGCACAGAAGCGCTCTACTGTGCCACGCGCAGAAGTGCTCTACCACACCACACACATGTGCAGAACAGGTATCTCCGGTAGCGAAAACCTCGGGATCCGACCGGAGCTCTGGAACAGATCCCATCCGCAACCAGAGGTACCACTGTATTGTGTATGCTGACTGGCGGAGGCTCTCCAGGGTTTCAAGCAGAGTCTTTCCCAGCCTTATTTGGAGATGCTCAGAATTAACCTCAGCAAAATAAGACCTGTCACCCCTGCATATACAAAAGTAAGCCCCCGCTCCCCTAAAGTTTTCTTTTAACTGCTTGCTCTGCTCACCTGTACTTTGTGCAAAGTAAGCAGCACATAAGCGGCACACAAAACACTACCAAACCATTCTACGTCCTAAATCTTATATTAATAATCGAAAAATTGAAAGAGCTACGTACAAGATCTACTACAGAAGCCACAAACAGAAAACTCATTCAAATTGTGTCCAAAAGGAAGATTCAGTCTTTAATGTTCCTTTAGCCAGGCCCCTGTAGATATCAAGAAAGGTAAGTTTGATCAAACGAAGTGTTGGTGATGTTACGCACAAGAGTTAGTCAGGGGGGCAGCGTTTGTCACCTGTTTCGCCAGCGTCTCGGGCTTCTTCAGTAAATTCTCCCTCACGGTTTTGATATATTTATAAACATTCAAGTCCATATGTTACATTTCTTCTTAGATTAAGCTACAATATTTAATTTCTTTCTTCAGGAAATTCTCCCTCAAGATTTTGGTGTATTTACATACATTCAACTTCATATGCTCTTTCTTGACTTAAGCATTTATTTATTTACTAAGCTTCATGGGCAAAACAGATCAAACTTATCCTCATTGATATCTAACCCTTGAGTACAACATCGCCAACACTTCGTTTGATCAAACTTACCTTTGTTGATATCTACAGGAGCCTGGCTAAAGGAACTTTAAAGACTGAATCTTCCTTTTGGACACAATTTGAATGAGTTTTCTGTTTGTGGCTTCTGTAGTAGATCTTGTACATAACTCTCTCAATTTCTGGATTATTAATATAAGATTTTGGTAGCGTTTTGTGTGCTGCTTATGTTCTGCTTACTTTATACTGGTCTACTATGAGAATTGGCAGCATAGGTTCATTTCTTCAGCACCTGTACTTGGTGGGCTTATTTATCACCCCCTTTCACATACATCACCCTTGCAAATATACCAAGAAATGTTTCTTTGGGATTTTCCAGCAAATCCCTAGTTGTCTGGCTGGGTTCAGGGGTTCATACTGTAAATGTTTTCCTTCAAAATAGGGCAGTATTAGCTGCCTTTGAAGGAGAGAGCTGTGTGGCCAGTGCTGAACACACACTCTTTAGATCCAGATAATTTTAGGAAATATCAACTGGTCACTAAGACTTCTTTCCTGGGCAAAAGAGTGGTTTGATTCAAGGGACTCTTGGAAGAGACTGATTATCTGGATCTAATTCAATCAAGCTTCAAGCTTGGGTTTGTTTGTTTGTTTATTTATAGAGTATTAGGGCTTTCACCTTTCTTAGAATAAAATGATTCTGCCTCTTCTGACCCCTTCCCTCTCCCCACCCCACACATTCCCTTGCACAGTTCCCTCCCCTTTTCACAAGGATATTTTCATTTATGCCATGCAATCATTTGGCTTGTTGTAGTGCTCAGATTGGCATGTTCAAGTGAGGATAGGCAACAGCCAATTCTGTGTCCAGCGTCCAGCTTAGCAGATGTTGGGTTGAGGGTGAACATAAGCAGCTTTGGAGGATGGCCTGAAATAAAATAAAGAGGGGAAATGCAGCAACTTGAAAGTTTCTCATTTTTCCAACATAATATATACTTCTCCACATTTCTGTATTGATTTGTGATTTAATAAAAAATCCCATTGAAAATGAACCAGTATTTTAGTGTGAATTTCTCTTACCAAACACAAATTTGTATGCAATTTTTCCTAATATATACCATGTTTGCAAAGCGGTTTTCACTATTATATTGCATCTCTGTAAGTTATTTTCATCTATATATACACTTTTATGGACACATTAGCCAACCACGTGCATTTTTGTACACGGTCCTTGACTGAGGAACTGCACTGAAAAACTCGGAGCAGTGCGAATTTCAATAAATGGCTTTGCTTTGGTTCTTGTTGTGGAAAGTGTGAATGAGGTAGGTTTACCTTTAAATGTGAAGTGAATTTAATTTCTCTCACATCTCTATAAGAGCCACCTCATGCCTTTAAAAAAGCTGCTGTCAGAAGTACGACAATGGTAATTTTTCTTTTGATAAAGGTCAACCCTGAAACAGCCTTTCAAATTCTTTAGGGCACAGACCCAAAGTACAAGCAGAAACTGTGCACCAAAGCTGGTTAGCAATTGGGCTTCTTATTGAAAAGTAGTGGCTCACACAGCTATTTCTTTGGGACTTTTCTGCTTTAAAGGAGTTTAAACAAGATATATAGTCAGCAACTAATGGGAAACCATATTTCTTGACAAACTTCGATAAATTGGCCATGCTGCACAACATTTCATGTCTCCTTTTTAAATACTATATAGCGTAATGTTGCTGACACAGAGCTGTTCCCCTAAAGGTAGTGTTAGCAAAATTGAGTTTTGAGCTTGCATTTTTTTAAAAAAGAATTTAAATGGTCAGTGCACCTCTTTGGATAAAAAGTGATCTGTCTATTTATTGACGTGCCTTCAACAGTTTAGAAAAATAGGCAGCCCAAAGTTGCTATTTAGACACAAGAGGGAGATGGAAGCTTTAAAGGGAAGACAAGACAATAGCTGTATATTGTCTGGTGATAGAAATATTGGGTGGAGCAAAGCTACAAAGTTCTAGAATGATGAACCCTGGGGCCACAAGGATGGCAAAAGGTAAGTATTAATCTCAAAATGAAAGAATAGCCTTTTGCAAGAATGATCTGCAGCTTAAGTCAGGAGAAATCTTTCCCAGAAAAAGAAAGCTGTCCTCATGCATCTTCAATGCAATTTAACAAACTGGCTGTGTTGTTTCCATTGGGTTTTTTTTGGGGGGGGGGTAATTTAATTTTGAATTATGCTTTACATATTGCATTACAATATTCTATGAAATTACAATTCATGAAACAGGCACAAAAATCATTATGAGGTCTACTAAGACCCTCAGAAATTTTCAAGTGGTCTGTAGCAAGTAACGTTTGAGAACCACTGGTCTAGGTGACGGAAAGAACACTTGCCATAGGTCTGAACCAATGTGTTGTTTCCATTGTGAGGATATAGCTTTAACACTCTGCTCTATCTTCTCTGACTGCCATCTTGCATCCTGACTTCTGCTTCCCACTCCGCCATTATGTGTTTGCCTCTGTGATCTCAGGGTCAACACACAAGCAAGTTTGCTACATGCTGATATAGCTACACATCCCTTCAGGGCCTAGTTGAGCTGAGTTGTCTGTGATTACTCAGCATAATTTTTACTGGAGGGATTGCACTAGTAATGCATTTTTTTTCACTAAGGAAAGCTGGATATGTTTGCTATTGTGAGCAGCAGAAAATCTGCCAACAACTCTTCAAATTAGGGATACTTCCCAAAATTGCAATGCTGAAGGCTCAGCTCTTCTGTAATGTATATTTGTTTTTCTGTGGCCACTTCTCTACCAGTTTAAAATCAAGGAGGATCTTTGCTGTTCTGTGGTTTAAAGAAAAATCAGTGAGTTATCAATAAGTCAAAATAACAATTGAAATCACAGGCTATGTGGTGCTTTACGTACCCTCATGTTCCTCCAGCCAATAAATGTTGCAATTATGAGCACGCTCAACTATGAGCATGGGCAGAGCCCTTTCACACTGTTCTTTCTTTTGGGGATTTTTTAAATAAAAAAATAATAATCCCTAGTATTCTGGAATTCTAACCTTGTGTCTGCCTGGTAAATCTGGTTACTGTGAAGGAATTTTGTCTGCAGCTAATTATTGCTGTTATGGGCAGGACTAAGACTTAGTACCATCATTTCCATCTTACATATCTCTCATCTAAACTAAGTTCACAAACTGACAGCTAGCACAAGTCAGAGGGAAGTGACACAAAACAGATGTCTCACAAACCATCCCCACCACACAGAAACTGGGATGATGTTTGTACACATCCCACTCAAAGAAAATATTGAGAATTCATTCTTATCTTTCATTAAAGTTATTATTTTTGCAGTGGAATTAAAAATGGGATACATTATTAATACATTATTAGCTAAATAATGATGTCATAGTGTAGTAGCATGCCAAGAAATCTGTGGTGGGAGAGAACAACAATTATACCACAATAAATGGAAAGTGTGTGAGGGGGGAAACCCCTTATTTTCCAGCTGTGATTGTAAATCAAGACAGAGAAGTATTTATGTCCACCCTCCAGAGACTAGAGAAAAGGTGTACAGAAAGTGGCCTGCTGTACAGTGGCTAATATTTGTATTCATTGCTCTGCCCACAGTTGCCTCTGGTACCACCAACCATGAACATGTGGCCTCCAAAAACGTACCGAGAAGTGAATGTGGCCCTCAGGCTAATAAAGGTTTCCTGCCCCTACTCTGCATTCTTCTCCTGCTTTAATCTTGCTGGCCATAATTTATGTGATTTACACCAGAGTAAATCATGGCTTTTCAATGACATCACCTTGCCAACAAAGGTCCGTATAGTAAAAGCTATGGTTCTCCCAGTAGTGATGTATGGAAGTGAGAGCTAGATCATAAAGAAGGCTGATTGCCGAAGAATTTATGCTTTTGAATTCTGGTGCTGGAGGAGACTCTTGAGAGTCCCATGGACCGCAAGAAGATCAAACCTATCCATTCTGAAGGAAATCAGCCCTGAGTGCTCACTGGAAGGACAGATCGTGAAGCTGAGGCTCCAATACTTTGGCCACCTCATGAGAAGAGAAGACTCCCTGGAAAAGACCCTGATGTTGGGAAAGATGGAGGGCACAAGGAGAAGGGGACGACAGAGGACAAGATGGTTGGATAGTGTTCTCGAAGCTACCAGCATGAGTTTGACCAAACTGCGGGAGGCAGTGGAAGACAGGAGTGCCTGGCGTGCTCTGGTCCACGAGGTCACGAAGAGGCGGACACGACTAAACAACAACACAAATCATGGCTGTGTAACTTCCTCCTGTTCCAAGCTCATTCAGGCACAGGGCTACTCCCAGCTGAACTAGCCCAAGCCAGATAAAGAGGAAACAAACCTTTAAAACAGCTTTACACCTGTGTCTGTTCAGGCTTCATCTGAGCTGGCTAATCACTGGCTCAGCCAGGATGCAGGAGTTACATCAGTGTTCCTTCGACTGAGCCAGCACTTTAGCTGGCTTAGCCCAAGCACCCTCTATTCCAAACTCACTCCTCCTGGTGGATCTTGGGTTTGGATCAAGTTGTTTACTGGACAGCACTGAATTCCCATACATCTGCATCAGAGAGAACAAAAAGGGCTTTCAATTCTTGCCTGCGTATGAGAACACGGATGCTTTGGCAACGCTGCCACACTCACGTTTCCAAAGCACAATTCCACCTCCCCATTCCTCCCTTTTGATAATTGCTATCTTCCCTGGAGCTGCCTTCCCATACCTGTGTTTGTCAGTGAAACATTGCAAGTGTCATTAATCTCTATGAAATGAAGTAATTACTTAACTGAGAGCACTCAGCAGTTCCTTTGAGCCTAATGATGCTGAAAAAGAAAAAGAAAGAAAAAAAAAGATATCAGCAATACCATGTAAGGACAAAAGAGCCAGGAATGACTCTTAGCCTCCCCTTCGACTTCCCACACTCCCCTCTGCAACCTGCTGTGCAGGCGGACACTGGTGGCCCCCTCCCATGGAGTTCCCACTGCAGGGGGTCCCCTTTCCTTTCTGTGATGAGTATGAGCAGGATGAGTATGACATTGGGGGAGGATGCCTGCCTGCACATTAATTAAGTTCTCAAAAGAGAGATGATGGGGCAAGTGTACCTGCCAGGAAACCATGTGCTCTTGGCCTGTCAGGAACTTTGCCCAGTAATCACAGGGGCTGAAAGGCTAGCTGTGGTTACTCACTGATTAAATAAATGTACTCTGCACCTAAAGGATCACTCCTCTATTAGAAAACTTCAGAGCTGGCTCCATGGTAGTTCCTGAGGCTCAGATGAAGTCTTGCAGTCACACTCTTGTAGCAGTGTCCAGTCAGTGTGGTGTAGTGGTTATAGTGTCAGACTAGGACCTGTGTGAGGCACCAAAGGGATGGGCCCCTTTTACTCCGCAGTTAAAGCCAAAGGTTAGAGTGAGGAGTAGGTGACGGAGAAACAGAAGAGCTGGAGGCAAGGCCTTTGGGAGAAGCATCACTCTCTTGGGGTGCTAATGCTGTGAACCCCTCCAAAATAGTCTCAGCTTGTATATATGTGTAAATAAACCACATATCATACAGACACCACAGTCTCCTCTGTGCCTCATTTCCAAAAGGAAACACAGGGTAAGCATGCCTGGAATCCTTGGAATCTGACACCACTGTGGAGACTGGGGTGTAACATTGGTGGCAGGCAACGATATATATATGAAGTTGGCATGAGACCAACAGTGCATGACATAGGGAAGACTTAGTTACTTCAGTTTCCCATGCCTTCCCAACTTAGAATAGCATCCCAAGGATAGAAGAACCTAAGAAGAGCCTACTGGATCAGGCCATTGGTCCACCCAGGCTAATCGCCCACACAGCTTAGATTTTTAAAATATTAAGTTGTACAGTATATAGATGCTTAAAATAAATTCCAGCATCTTCTTCTCTTGGTGGCCAACCAGATGCCTATGGGATTCCCACAAACGGAGCACAGAGCACAACAGCACTTGTGATTCCTGCAACTGGTATTCAGAGGCATACTGCCGCTGACAGTGAATGCAGAACACAGCCATGGTGGCTAGGAGCCATTGATACCTTTACTGTATATTCCTTAAATATGACTTTTCAACCAAAGTGGTTATTTTTGAGAGAAAACACGTATAGAATCGCATCTTTTGAGAGAAAATTCATTTAGAAATATTTGTATGTGCATTTTAATGTGCTTTCTTAAAAAAATAAATTACAGAATAACACAGAGATTACTCGTTGGTGCACATATGTGAAAGTCCATCTCTACAATTGAGTAGTGGTCTGTAATGGCAGTCACTCAAGAAACCAAGGAAACTTCCACAGTGACATGTGATGGCCTAGTTTACGCCTGGAGGTTGGCAGAAATATTTCCATCAACTATTATAGATGATTGTATCAAGTGCTTGTCTTGCTTTCTATCCACTCAAATGTAACATTTGCTACAAACTGCATACTATGGACATGAAACCCAGAGATTCTCCCAATCCACGCAATCTGGGACATCATCACTTGCTACATTTCAAAGCATTTGAGCAAAAACACCGGCTAGGCTTTTGACCCTTATAGGAAATTTTTGTGCAGAAGGTTTGCAGTAAAAACAAAAACCTTCCTTCAACTAGTCCTTACTTGTCTGGATTTTGTTATATAGCATGCTCAGTATTCAGGACAAGGTCTCAAATATCTTTCAGAGAGAGAGAGAAAGAGAAGAAGAAAAGATCTTAGATTTGTGTGGTTTGCTAAAAAAAAAAAAAATCAAAACTGCGACAGTGCTGAAGACTCATTTTTTTCTTGAGCTCCTTTGTAACTAACACTTCCTCCAAATGACTCAGGGCATAACTACATATTACTCTGCAGCTGCATGTAAAAATGTCTCTCTTGCAAAACACCCTCATAAGAAGAAGCCACTTCTACATTAACACCCAGTGGGCTTATCTGCAGGTGACAGAAAGCAATATAAGATAGCCTTCCCACAACATCCCCATCGCCAGCAACCCCACCCCAGACCCTTATCCACTGAGTGGGAAGGTCCAAAGAGGGAATCCTCACACACCCAGCCAAACACAACTCGAATCCTCTGGATCACTGGGAATCTCAATTGTGCAGGTTCCCAACCACTTGGAAAACTCCAGGATGCACACCCAGGCCAGTGGGGACAGGGACACAGGGGTGAGAGCCAGTGGCGTAGCATGGGTTGTCAGCACCCGGGGCAAGGCAAGTAATTTGCGCCCCCTAACCTGGTAGGGGCAGAGAGCTGCGAGTGCGAGCGCGTGCCCCCCAGATGTTGCGGCCGGTGCGGCCGGCCCCCCCTGCACCCCCCACGCTACGCCACTGGTGAGAGCACATCCTCCACATGTTCTGAGATAGCTGCTGATTGCCTTCTCTCCCTTTTTTCATAATTTACTACTCAACATCATTTGACAATGTTAATACATAGGTGATAACAGAACAAGAAATTGATAGGAAATTGCTTATTGTGCCAGGAGAAAGCCACTACACCTAATCAGTCTAGGACTATTTCCCAAAGCACATTTAAAACTAGTAAAGGCATGCAGTGTGTGTACTGCAATGCTTACTACTTACTACCAAATTAGCCATGAATACATTGCGAACTCAAAACATATGTGTGGTAATAAATGGCATCTTTTACTGTAATCAACACGCCTTCAACTTTACAAAAAATAATAATAAAATGCCCTTCCTCTCTCTTCCTTCTTGATATTTTAAGAAATTTGTCTGCTTAGCAAAATCCTATATTTTATCCATCCATTCTTTGATTTGGGGTGTTGCATATAATGTCAACCAGTTTGCAAATGTATACAGAATTCCCCAAAGGCTGGTGATCCTACACCTATGCATTTCAGTCCTTGGCTACTGAATCACAGAGTTATGGACCTGAATAGGACTTTGCAGGTCTTCTATTCCAGCCCCACCAATGCAACTCACCTTACAGGGGAAGTGCCTTAGTTCAGTGGTTACATGCAGAAGATCTCAGGTTCAGTTCCTGGCATCATGGGAGAGACCTCTATCGGAAATCCTGGAGAACCCTGCTAGTCAGTGCTGAACTAAATGGACCCTTAGGAAGCTTGCTAGGTTCCTATATCCAATATTACAACATTATGTTTCGGTGGTCATTGAGCCTCTCCTTTAAAACCTCCAATGAAGGAAAATACACCACCCACTCTGTTGTCATACAGCCTGTATCACTATCATTTTTTCTCTAGTGTTTGGTAGAAATCACCTTGTCATCTGAGCCCATTCATTTTAGTCCCACTCCCTGGAAAAACAGAAAACAAATTTGTTCCATGTGATAGCCCTTCACATATTGCCTCTTACCTGTTTCTTATCCAGGCTACTGTTTCTTACCTAATTGCTTCTTAGCAGCTCCTTCAATCATTTCTCCAGGCCCCTCACAATCTCTGTCACCCTGCTCTAAATACACTCCAGTTTATATAAAAATAAAAAAAATGTCCAGTAGCACCTTATAGACCAACTAGGTTTGTTCTGGTATAAGCTTTCATGCGCATGCACACATCTTGCACATGAAAGCTTATACCACAACAAACTTAGTTGGTCTATAACGTGCTACTGGACAACTTTTAATATTTTTTTTAATTTTGACTACATCAGACCAACACAGCTACCTACCTGACTCCAGTTTATAGATATTCTTCTATGGTGCTGAGAAAGCGGTACTGATGCAATCAAAAAAACCAAAAACAGAAAACAATCCTATGTGCCATTCTGTGTAGTGGATTTATAAATTAAATCCAGTTCAGATCTGTTCCTCAGGATCTATGTGTGTGGATCACTTGATAAGCCTTCTTTCATCCAAACCAAACTCTGCCTCAAAACCACCAGATTCATGCATTAAGAACAGGAAATATAATGCCTACTTTTCCCTGCTTGAACCACATTACTGGCAGTATACAAACTGATTCCCATAAGCAAATTCATCATTTGATGACTGCAACATCAAGTGATATCTAAGAACTAGAGGATGTCCTCAGCTTCCTTTGCCTCCTGAATTCTGGTTTAGCGTTAGGAATTTCTAGGAATTGGAGCTTGCCTGCCTTTCAGTTCCTTCAGTTAATTTGTATTATTTTTATTTTATTTTATTTTATTTTTATTTGTACCGTGCCCTTCTGATTGGGTTGCCCCAGCAAGCTCCCAGCATTAGCAAGATGCACCAGTGTGCATCAATAGTCTTTTTAATGCAGTGCTGTCCTGTGCAAATAGAAAATAACTTAGGACTGATCTTAGAGCTGAGCCATGTGCTCACGTCTGGCATTGGTGGTGGCTGTGTGCCCCAGCTGATGCCATGTGCCAAACCCTCTATGTAGTGGCTCTGATACATTCTGTTGGCCAGCTTTTCACATGTCATTGTCATTTCAGGATTTCGAAGCCCTCACTTTGAGTGCACAGAAATCCATTCCCCAGTGGGACTCCAGTAGAGTTTTTCAGCCTCCCTTTCTTGGTGGAGCTGCCTTATTTCCAGGCGCAGGTTCAAAGAAAGAAAAAGGCAAGACAGTGCTTGTGCGAGTTTTAGAAGCTGAAGGGGAATCGATCAATAAGGGTTTTCATTACTGTGAAAAAGTAGAGAACATGCGGTGCTCAGAATAAGCAAAATCAGATGGATGGTCTTCAGAGCACTCGCATGGGGGGTGGAATAGCTGCCCCGATTTTTCTTTTCTTTTCAACTAGTAGTTTTCCTACTCGGAGAAGAAGCTTTTATTCTTTAAATGAATTCTTTTCAAGCCTATTATCTTCAATCAAGCAAGTTCTTTGCTGGGGTAAATCAGGTGGGAGAGGCTGGCCCCAAATTGCAAGTGTGGTTGACAGCCGCTTGAACACATTTTGCCAGCGAATGTGCACCGCAGTGCTGATAGTAGGAGAGGTCACATTCGTCTCGCTTTGTTTTTTAATTAATGGCACTTCCAAGCTGCTGATATTTTGAGGACCGTTCAATCACATGCCAGCAAATTCAGGCTGCTCCATTACAGCTGACAGGGAAGCCTTGCACAATAAACCCGCTTCCCTGAAAGATTGGACTTTTTGCGATAAGGAAAATGCGCCGAGAAGTGTGCGATGGCACTTGGTTGATACAATATTATCAGACCTTCCTGCAAAGAAGTCAAGGAAAATGCTCGATAAACAGGTCCTCTGAATGTACTCCAAAGCAAGAAAAATCGTGACAGTTTCCTCTGCGTAAAAAAAACACCAAGCTTTTTACAATACTTCTAACATCACCCCCTCTGTTCTTTTTTTCCTTTTCTGCATTTCCCTATTCTTCTTTGTATCACACGAGCCCGGTGTGAATGTACAGCTCAGAAACATTTCCCAAATATTGTTGCTATAATATTATTTTACGTGCTTACGAGATGCAGCTAACGAACCAAATTCTATCATTGCTTTTGCAGCTAGTAGGTGGAGGAAAGGGAAGGGGAGGGAGGGAGAGTCAGCAGAGAGAGACGTTGACAACTGTCAAACGTGCTCTTTACTATGCTGCAATACGGTAAGAGGCGGGAGATTACGGTAAAATCGAACGGGATCCTACCCAGGCAGCTGCATCAGCTCAGCAGCCGTGAAGTTGCTGCTTCTCCTGGACAGTGCAAAGCGGAGTATTATTCGGCTGGGAGGAGGGGAGGGGGGTCACGGAGCTGGCCTCCATCCCCGGCCAGCCATTGGGACAGAGGGAATAAGTGTAAATGTGAGTCATCAAAATACATGGGGGGTGGAGAGTGCTTGCATGGTTTGGTTTTGCTTCCGAGCAGAATGTCCCACGGTGCGCTGGAGATGTCTGCCTGTCATCCTCCTGCCTCGCGCGCTCTGCAACAGGAGGTCTGCAGCCTTCAGCTTGAAGGAGAAGCGCAGACAGCAGCTTAGAGACGGTGGTCGGAGCTAGAGACCCGCGTTTGCATCTGCCAGCTGCTTTTTTCCCTAGGTAATGCTGACACGATTTGCTTGTCCGTTTGGGGTTTCCCCACCTTACAGCCATTCGCAATTTCCCCATTTTAATTTCCTAGTCCCCCCAGTAGGCACTGTTGTTGTTTATTTAGACTTGCTTAGACCGGTTTAGACCTCTGCTGGGACTTGGTGCATTTTCTCCTCCCAATTTTGTATATGTGTATGGGGGGGGGGATACACTTAATGCTCCAGTTTTCCCACTTGTTAAGAAACATCTATACCATTTGAATGAAACTGTGTTCATTATTTGTCATCATTTCCCCCTCAATAATTTTTACCTCATAACTTGAGCATCTTAGAACATACCATTTCAATACACTTTTTCTTTTCTTTTCTTTTTTTCTTTCTTTCTTTCTTTCTTTCTTTCTGACAAGGAAACAACTTCAGAACAGCCCAAGAGGCTACTTTGTGTTCATATCTTGACATTTTAAAACTAAAACTGTGAAACTACTTGCGGAAAGAAAATTCAGCAATATTTCTCTCTCCGGGTAACTAGCAGGTGTGAAGAAGAGGGAAATGACTTTTCCTGATTGTAAATTGTTTTAACTGTTTTTAATACAGTACTGAATTGTAAATTGTTGTAACCTACTCTGGGACCTAATGGCACCAAGTGATGGTGGTAGTAACTTTCATTGTTGTGGTTGTTGTTGTTGTTGTTAACAGAGAGACTTGTAGCGCTCTAAAAACTAACAGATTTATTTTGTCTAGAACCTGTTTCATCAGATGTTCAAATTGTTTCCTCAGGTAGCCAAAATATGTGTGCCTGAGTACACATGTGGACATCCATGTACAGCGGGGGGGGGGGGGGAGAGATGTGTATGTTGGGTCCAAAAGGTCAGGAATTATATAAGTCTAGTCGATCTGTAGCAATTTTATGCAAAGCTTTTATACATTGTATACATTGCCTAGATGCAACCACCAATAACTATCTGTAATAGGACTTACCAAGCTTGTCTGTGTTAATTTCATCCCTACTGTGGCTAAAAAATCTCAGGTCTCACTTAAGTCCTAAAATGAAGTAGAATCTATTGTTTCCCAAAATACTAGCAAGTGTTGCATACTGGGAAATTGGACAATTACCAGTTACAAGAGGCATTGTTACCCGGTTGATACCTGATTTTTGTGTTCCCAACCGTATAAATCCTAGAAAGATTGGGTCCAGCTCTTCTGTGATTTATTTTATCTGCATTAGTCTTAGTAGAAGCCTTTTGGGAAAGTCACAGATCAGTGACAGAGGGCACATTTTGCAATGCAGAAGGTCCTAAGTCCAGTCCCTGGAATAGCTAAGTAGGGCTGGAAAGATGTCTGTAAACTTAGGCAGTCAGAACAGTCAGTACAGAGCAGACAATATTGTGTGTCTATTGGTCTCAGTTTGTACTCTGACATCTCCATGTAATGAAGAGAGAACTTGGGGAGCAAGACTAGGAAAGATTCTGTGATTCTGGGGAGGTGTTGCCATCTTTAATGACTAAAGAGATGGATGAGTTGCCTGGTCTGGCTCAGGAGAGACTTCGGAATCTCTTAGCAAGTGAGGGAAGAAAGCCTGTTGTACTTTCTGCTCCTCCGTTTATTTGTTTGGAACATTCAAATGTTGTTGTTGTTACCCTGCCCATCTGGAGAATATGTCCTCTTTCCTTACTTGGAGAGGTACACATGCTGTTTTAATACCTGGAGTGTACACAACTCTCATATAGAGTGAAAATCACTGTTTTCAAACTTCTAAAAATGCTTTTGCTGTAAACTATTTGTTATACCATTGCTTTAGTTTCTTAAAAGAGGGCCATTGGGGTTCACATGTACCCCAAAGTTATTCATTAGACCTATGAATGCCCAACACCCTAATCAAGGGTGCTTGGAAAAGTAATTCATTGGGGAATAAACTACAGTTCCCAGACTCTTTGGTGGAAGCTATGGGCTTTAATTCAAATGTCTGGGATTGTATCCAAAGTAGCACTATGGGAACAGTCCAACAGTGCAAGGATTTCTGCTTGCACAATGGAATGTTCTCCCTCCATACTCCCACTGCACCCCCTAAATTTGTTCTATGGGTTCCCACAACCCTCCAGGGCAGATTTGGGGAAGGCATGGAGTGTACATGTAGGGAGAAGTGAGGGTTCATTGCACAAGCATAAATCCTTGTGCAAATGTAGGAATGGGGACCCTCCAGCCCACAGGCCAGTCCCGACCCAGGCTTCCCCATTTGGCCTGCAAGGCCACCTACCCACCCTACACCCAACATTGTGCAAGTAACATTGTGCTTGATTTGCTTCCAATTTGCCCAACAACAAGGCTTTGAAGCACTGCACAGAGCAGGAGGCCCGGGCTATGCAGGATCACCCCCCCCAACACACACACACACACACACACACACACACACATCAACTGATGCCAACAGCAAATGATCCTGCTTGATCTGTGTATATGGGAGAGCACCCAATCCCAGCACCAAGCAACCTCCCCCTGTCCTTCAGCTGATGTGAAAGGAGGACAACCTTTCCTTGGTCTGGGTGTATTTTCTGCCTTTATTACAGCAGTTCATTCACTGCAAAGGGGTTTCAGTGAAACAGCTGCTGAAACAAACGGGGGCTGCCTGCTTTTTGTCTTTGGGAAAGGGGGCTGAGAAGCCAAGGGGTTGAGGAGCCCTGGTGGTTCAGCATGTCCAAGATGTTGCAACTGAATGAGATAAAAGTCAGTTCTGCTTTTTGAAGCCCCAACTTCGGGACCTCAGAGCACCAAATCCCCTGGTGCCATTTGTGACATCAGAAAATTGATAGATGGGTGGCCCCACTCACCTGTCGAATTTGGCCCATGCAGACAAAACGGTAAAGGAATGAGTGAATTAGATACTGCCCATAGTCTGACTAATTTACCATTCATCCCATTATTCTGCTTTGTCTGGCAATGGTCTCAATCAGAGTGGAGTCTTTATAATTAAAGTGCTACCAGATCATTTTAAGTGGGGATGCCAGTGATTGAAGCAGGGGTCTTCTGATTTTGCTGTGTCATTGAACCTTCTCTTATGCGCAAGGGCTGGTGGTGGTCACTCATTACTCAGTGCTGAAGGTATTCTACATATGGCACAGAGCTATATCTAAGTATTGATAGTGGGGTCATCCCTAGCATGGATCAGGCCTTCTTGCCTGGACAAAACATTGGCTGTAAAAAGAAAATCCAGGCTGGAAAAATCCCTACAGAGTAGCCATGGCATATTCATATCTAAGAGCTGAATCAGTGTAAAGTCTATCTTGCCCACTATTTATGCATATGTGGGACCATTGCTAATGTGGAAGAGAAAGTGGGAGATCATTGTAATTCCAGCTGCTAGTCTGCGTTACAAATCACTTTGAGCCTGTAGTGTGAAAATGTCCATAGATTTGTTCTCACTGTGTAGCCACAAGCTTTTCTGTCTACATCAGATGAAAAAGGAAAACATGGAGAGACTTCTTTTGAAATATGTGGCATTGTCCCTATATTGAGACTGCAGGGTTGTGATTCACAAAACCACCAGGCAGCAATAGCATTCTTGCACTGAGAGTCAGAAAGGATGGCGTAATGTGTGGGGGGGGGGCCTGAGGAGGCCATTGCCCCTGGTGCCATTTAGCAACCTGCCCCATTGTGAGCACTTGCGTCCTTCTCAGCACCCTCCAGCTAGAGGGCAGCTGAGAATGATGCAATAGGTGTGCCCCCTGGCCCCTGTGGGCCCAGCGCTGCTTTTCCTAGTGTTCTGCTTGCTGGGAGGGTGCCCTGAGCTGTTGCATCCTTCACACGGAGCCCTCCTGCTGGGGGGCAGCTGAGAAGGAGGCAACAGGCATGCGCCCTGGCCCCTGCAAGCAGTGCCATAGTGCTGCATTCACAGGGACCAAGGCACAGCCCTGTTGTGTCCTTCTCAGCCGCAATGCAACTGGAGGATGCCATGAGAAGTACACAAAAGCTCACGGCACCCTCCCTGCGAGCCCAGCACTGCTTCCAAAAGGTTTGCAGGGCCGAGTTGCATGCCTGCTCGCAGCACCCCACAAGCCCATTTTTGTGAGTCTTGCAAAGCAACACTGGGCTTGCAGGGCACCGTGAACTCATCCCATTTTGCAGCAGTGGGCAGGGGTCCCTCCTGTGGTGCGCCCTGCCCCTGCTCCCACAGCGTGCCCTGCATGCGCCCTGGTGTGCACCTGCTCCGGACACAGGTGGGGGATGCTCCACCATTGGTCAAAAACAATGGGGTTGAGCAACAGCATCTACTGAGCAAGCAATATACTAGTAAACAGAAGTTAGTGCTGCAGATGATAAGGAAAAATCAGTCAAGTTGATTCCCAGGTCACAGAAAACCTTTGCAGTCTGGACATTACAGCAGCATTACAGGAGCCATGGCTTTTAAAATAAGCTTCCTTTTCTTTTTTTCTTATTTAGGAGTTAGCATATCTATCCTGCAAGGAGCACAAGAAGAAGAAGTCCCTGTTTGGAGCTATGACCAACATTTGTTAATAAGCTTACATCCTGGAGGCAGTTGGCGCAACGCTGAGAATCTTACGGCTTCAGCAAACTTTGTTCCACATCTCAAGACTGTGATGCACATCTCTGATGATAACAAAAGCAAAGCTTAATTGGAAACATCCTTGTGGTCTTCCACTATTCCAACTTTAAACATATTTGAAAATCAAGTATGATAAAGACCCAAATAAATGGGAGAAAAGAGAATGTTCCTGCCATTTGTGTCTAATGAGACAAATTTAAATGGACGCACTTCAGATGTTGATGGCCTTTCCACGAACTCAGATATTTTCCTTTGCTACAAACCCAAACATATTTCCCTTGCTTAGTGGCAGAAAGCATTCTGTAACCTGATGGCTCTTTTTTTTAACAGCCCAACAGAAACTTGGAAAGAGATCTTTGACCCCTTCTGCAATACTGTGTCATCAAGCATCCCACAAGATCCAGAGAACATCAAGGAGAGCGTCCTAAAGAGAGTCTTCCAAATTGCAGCAGTATTTTTATTTGGCCTAACTGGAACAGATACCAAGGAATAAATGTGGATTTTCAAATAAGTTTCCCAGTCAGAGGTGTCCTTCCAGGTTCTGCATTTATAAAGCAAGAACCACATTTCCAGTTAGTTTTTATCAACAATGTGGAAATAAAGCTTCTTGCAACACTACCAAATATTTGTTCTTCGCTCTTTCAAAGAAAGGGCAGAGTAAATCACAAACAACACTGGATGAACATTAACCAGTATTGATATAATGGCTTTGAACTCCGAGAACATCTCTGCCTCTGACTGCTTCAACTGCACCCAGCCTGTGGAGGAAGTAAACATTTCAAAAGCCATATTATTAGGTGTTATCTTGGGGGGGCTGATTGTTTTTGGAGTCCTGGGTAACATTTTGGTTATCCTGTCAGTAGCCTGCCACAAGCACCTGCAAAGCGTAACTCACTATTACATTATCAACTTGGCTGTGGCCGACCTCCTGTTGACTTCGACAGTCCTCCCTTTCTCTGCTATTTTTGAGATTTTGGGGTACTGGGTTTTTGGGAGGATCTTCTGCAACATCTGGGCAGCTGTGGATGTTCTATGCTGCACAGCTTCCATCATGAGCCTTTGTGTCATCTCTATAGACCGATACATTGGGGTGAGCTACCCGCTAAGATATCCAGCCATAGTGACTGAAAAGAGGGGCCTGCTGGCCCTTCTGTGTGTCTGGGCACTGTCCCTTGTGATATCAGTAGGGCCCCTCTTTGGCTGGAAACAGCCAGCTCCAGAAGATGAAACCATCTGTCAGATCAATACTGACCCTGGTTACGTCTTATTCTCTGCCCTGGGCTCCTTCTACCTCCCCTTGATCATCATACTGGCAATGTACTGCCAGGTCTATGTGGTGGCAAAAAGGGAAAGCAAAGGACTGTCTTGCGGCCTCAAAACAGAGAAGTCCCATTCAGAGGAAGTGACTCTTCGCATCCACCGCAAAACCACCACAGAAACCACTGGATCAACCCCCAGCACCAAGCACAAATCCAACTTTTCCGTGAGGCTCCTGAAGTTCTCCAGGGAAAAGAAAGCAGCTAAAAGTCTGGGGATTGTGGTGGGATGCTTCATACTCTGCTGGCTCCCCTTCTTTATCATCATGCCCATTGGTAAGTCAAGCAAATGCATTTGGTCACAAAGGGGGTGGGGTTGCGCAACTATTGTGGTGAATTGCATTAATGTCCACGATTCTGCATCAGATCCTCTGGTGATTGTAAATGAGATATTTGGTGCTCATGTAACTCTGGGACAGCTAGGGAACAAATCCATTGAGGATAAGGCCAGTGCTTTATTTTTAGGGGAAAAGGTGCCTGTACTCACCATGAAGTTGTTACAGTAAGTGCCACACTTTTAACATTTTGGGGGGGAACGGTGCTGGTGTTGAGTATCCTTGAGCAGCCCCAGGAAAAAAGGCACTGGATAAGGCTATCTGGGGCTACAGGCCATCATGGCTAAGTTCCTTGAAGGCAGTATGCTGCTGAAGACCAATAGCTGGGAATTTCCAGCAAGGTGAGTTTTGTCACACTCAAATCCTGCCTTGAGGCTTCCCATAGGGCAATATGGTTGGCCAATGCGAGAACAGGAAGCTGAACTGAATGGATTTTGGTTTGATCCAGTAGGGCTTTTCTTAGACTCAAACTAGACGTGACAGCCACTGCGGCATTTTAGCTGCATGTCCTTCTCATTCACATCTAAATTGTGGTACAGTGGTGCCCCGCAAGACGAATGCCTCGCAAGACGGAAAAACCGCTAGACGAAAGGGTTTTCCGTTTTGAAGTTGCTTCGCAGGACGAATTCCCCTATGGGCTTGCTTCGCAAGACGAAAATACCTTGCGAGTCTTGAGATTTTTTTCGCTTTCCCCCTTTATCTAATCTGCTAAGCCTTTAATAGCCTTTAATAGCCTTTTAGCAGCTAATCCCTAAGCCTTTAAGCCTTTAATAGCCGCTAAACAGCTGATAGCGCTAATAGCGCTAATCCGTCAATGGGCTTGCTTCGCAAGACGAAAAAACCGCTAGACGAAGACTCTTGCGGAACGGATTAATTTCGTCTTGCGAGGCACCACTGTATATGGGTTCCGTTTAGAAGGAGTGCACAGCAGAGGGCAGGAGTGCTGTGGGTGCCTGGCCCCTTCATGGGGAATTTTGTGGGTGCTCAGGCACCCAGGGCCCCAGGGAGTTGACACCTATGGCAGAGGGAAACTGAGCTCTCCCTTTCCTTTCCTGTGGTCCATTATCCCATGCTCTTTTCTTTCCCAGCTTCCAGTCCTCGAACTGGAGAAAAAATGGGAAGGCACAACTTTGCACAACTAACAATGGGGAACTGAGACAAGGAAAGGGGGTGGTTCTCCCCCACTCATGCTTGGCCCCCTTTTGATGTCAGACTAAGATCTCACAGTCTATTTGATATGTTAACAGCATGGGCATAGGGCTGAACTGCTTTCATTGTGCTGAGTTTGCCCCAAAGGACGAAGGATGTCTATATAGGAATAAACCCCACAGAATGCCCTTGCTTTTAGTAAAGAGACCTAGGACCAGGCTGCAAAGTATTTTAAAACTAACCTGATATAACTAACTGGCTGGAAGCTATCCTCTTTGTGGTTTTCAAAAGTCCATCATTGCCAATGAAGTACCAAATCTGAGTTGGTACCTTATTCTAGTGCCTGTGGAGAAGTGAATTTTCTTGATTATTTCAGAAGAAATCTTTCCTTGATAATCAATGTGTTTGGTTCAGACATCTGCTCAATGTACAATCTGTATACGTCAAACACTCAAATCATAATTCTGGATGCAAGCTGGTTTAGGGCTTACTCCCAAATGCATTTGCATGGTCCTATTTTATCTATCTACTGGTATTTATTTATCTATTTATTTAATAAATTTATACACTGCTTGATTGCAAAAAATCTCAAAGCATTTACAAAAATACTTGCTTTCTCAACACTTGATGCTTATAGCTCGTTGGACTAGAGCTAAAGTGATTTTGGATCTCTGAAAGCCAATTCACTCAGTGTTGCAAGCAAAAAACATACGTGTGTGAACCAATTTGGCTTGACCTTTATTTAATGGCCCCAATCCAGACATATGTGAAAGCAGCAGTTGTTGCAAATCCATTACCTTCTTCTTTTTTATAAGATATTTATTAGGATTTTCAAAATATTACAAAATAGAAAAAGAAAAAAGAAAAGTACAAAATAAAAATAGTTAAAAACAATTCAGTCTTTCAATCACTTATCTTTCATTTGCTTGTTTCCCGGACCTCCTCATACCTCCCTTTTTTGTATTCCAGTTCAGTTTGTTGGTTCAGCAAATCCTTACCCTCTTTATTTGTCCTAATCTTTGGTCTTAAAATAGTAACGTTAGATTTTTACCTCTTAACAACCCATTTTTCATATTCCCTTAAAGCATTACAGCTGGAAACCACTTAATTTCTATCCAACATCGTTCTAACATTCATTAATTTTACGATATTTCTGTAGCTAGTCTTTGAACTTCTTCCAATCTTCTTCCACCGACTCTTCTCCCTGGTCTCGGATTCTGCCAGTCATTTCTGCCAGTTCCATATAGTCCATCAGCTTCGTCTGCCATTCTTCCAGAGTGGGTAGATCTTGTGTCTTCCAATACTTTGCAATGAGTATTCTTGCTGCTGTTGTGGCATACATGAAAAAAGTTCTATCCTTCTTTGGCACCAATTGACCGACTATGCCCAGGAGAAAGGCCTCTGGTTTTTTCAAGAAGGTATATTTAAATACTTTTTCAATTCATTGTATATCATTTCCCAGAAAGCCTTAATCCTTGGGCACGTCCACCAAAGGTGAAAGAATGTACCTTCAGTTTCTTTACATTTCCAACATTTGTTATCGGGCAAATGATAAATTTTTGCAAGCTTAACTGGGGTCATGTACCACCTGTATATCATTTTCATAATATTCTCTCTTAAGGCATTACATGCCGTAAACTTCATACCTGTGGTCCATAACTGTTCCCAGTCAGCCATCATTATGTTATGTCCAACATCTTGTGCCCATTTAATCGTAGCAGATTTCACCATTTCATCCTGAGTATTCCATTTCAACAGCAAGTTATACATCTTTGACAAAATCTTAGTTTTGGGTTCTAATAGTTCTGTTTCTAATTTTGATTTTTCCACCTGGAAACCAATTTTCTTATCCAACTTATATGCCTCCATTATCTGATAATAATGAAGCCAATCTCGCACTTTGTTTTTAATTTCTCAAAACTCTGCAATTTCAGTCTATCTCCGTCTTGTTCCAAAATTTCCCAATATTTCGGCCATTTGGCCTCCATATTGAGCTTTTTCAGGGCTTTTGCTTCCATCAGTGACAACCACCTTGGAGTTTTATTTTCCAATAAGTCCTTGTATCTTATCCAGACATTAAACAATGCTTTCCTGACAATGTGATTTTTAAATGCTTTATGTGCTTTGACCTTATCATACCACAGATATGCATGCCATCCAAATACATTGTTAAACCCTTCTAGATCCAAAATGTCAGTGTTTTCAAGAAGCAACCATTCTTTCAACCAGCAAAAAGCTGCTGATTCATAGTAAAGTTTAAAGTCTGGCAGGGCAAATCCACCTCGTTCCTTTGCATCTGTTAATATTTTAAATTTTATTCTAGGCTTCTTGCCCTGCCAGACAAATTTAGAAATATCTCTCTGCCACCTCTTGAAACAGTCCATTTTGTCCACAATTTGCAGTGTTTGAAACAAAAACAACATTCTAGGCAATACATTCATTTTTACCGCAGCAATACGGCCCAGCATTGAAAGCTTCAAATTTGACCAAATTTCTAAATCTTTTTTCACTTCAGCCCAGCATTTTTCATAGTTGTCTTTAAATAAATTCCCCATTTTAGCTGTCATGTTAATCCCCAAGTATTTAACTTTCTTAACCACTGTTAAACCTGTCTCATTCTGAAACCTCTCTCTCTCCATTGGTGTTAAATTTTCTCTAAAACCTTGGTCTTTAACTTATTCAACTTAAATCCTGCAACTTGACCAAATTCTTGAATCAGTTCTAAAACTCTTTTAGTACTAGATTCTGGCTCCTGTAACGTCAAATCTAAGTCATCTGCAAATGCTCTCAATTTGTACTGTTTGGCTCCAACCTGTATACCTTTAACCAACCGGTCCCTTCTAATCATGTTCAGCAGAACCTCCAGGACCGATATAAAAAGCAATGGGGAAATTGGGCAACCTTGTCTTGTCCCTTTTTCTATCCTAAATTCTTCCGTCACCATGTTGTTAACAATTAATTTAGCCTTTTGTTCTGAATAAATTGCACTTATACCGTTTCCAAAGCCTTGACCTACCCCCATCCCCTGTAGATTCATTACCTTCTTGAGGAGATAATTGGCAAGGTCGTGAGCAGAGTGTACCTGCTCTGAGTTCAACTCCTGTCCCAACACATTAATTGTTTCTACCATTATTTGATTGGGGCTAGAACTATGTGTACAATCGGGGCCACTGGATATGAGGAATCTCTCTTCTCCTCTGCTTTGGCCACTTGGATACGGAACCGTGTTTCTGTATGTAAATCACAATTTACTGCTATCAAAATGCACAGGTTTTTAAAATGGGAAGTTATATATAGTTACCTGAAGGTGTAATACACATTGACTGAATTACCTGAATATGCAGTACTTGTTGGAAATGTCATATTCTTGGTGATTATTTTCAGAAAAGGGGGTCTCTTGAATTTTGAAACTTGGAGACCTAAATATATTTTCACATATCTAGCGCATAGCTTTAAAAGGATCATTTGTGAAGTTATGTTTCTGATAAACATCAGACTTCTTCACATTATGGGTGGAAGGTGCTATATACAAGCAAACCAGTGGCATGCACCCATAATTGAGATATATGATCCTAACTGTGCTTATTTTAGATCATGGGAAAATAGAAGGTATGTTGAGTAAGTTGTCTCAGTCTATTCTCATTAGTATAATCATTACAATTGTAGAAAATTTGGGAAGTGAGCACAATGGAGATTTTCTCTCTGTTTTTTTTTTTTTTTAAGTATGCCAACAGAAGAAAATACAGATTTCCACAAAACTAATTGCTGGCCAAGAACTATATGCAGATTTTTCTCCTATTTAGGGAATAGTCTGAATGAAGAATTGCTTACTAATCCTGGATATTAGATTAGTTCTAGTTTAAACTTGTTAGAGCACTAGAATTGCCAGCAGGCTAAATCCTTAGGTGTGGCCAAGCGAACTGCCGTTCTTTTCCAGGGGGGTGAGTGGGAATTAAACAGCTTTGAAATGCTGTAATGTAATTCTGTACAGTGCTAATGCCAAGTCTGATTTAACAAGGCTGCTCGCAAGGGGTCAGACTCAATTAATTTTAAAGAAACGTTAATCTACTCTCTTCCACTCCACACTTCTTATTTGTTCATTGGTTTTATGAATTTTGTGGCTGGGAGATCCTAGGGCTGGGGTGCTTGGGAGGGTAGAAGGATACTTAAAGGAAGTCTCTAAATCTCAGGGATGTGGTTTTGAGCCCCACGTTGGGCACACGATTCCTGCATTGCATGATCCTTGTGGTCCCTTCCAATGCTACAATTCTGTGATATAGTTTTACGAGGAGGGGTTAGGTGGGGTGGGAATGATTAAAATTAAATTAAAATTTTGGGCCAAATCTTTTAGATATTTTTACTGAATTGTTACATTCAAATAGCAAACTGTATAAAAAGAGGGTTTTTGGGAAAAGCGCCACACCATAATGCTCCCTGTGCTAGTTATGATTTGGTTAACTGTCCTGAATAAAGTCAGACAGAAATTATTTAGGTACAGTTCCTTGGTGAGTAATTGAGTTCATTATTTTCAGCTGAGAGTATACATAAGCGTTTCTTGAATTATTTATTGATTTTAATTAATATTCAGTTGTTTGGCATCCCTGGGGTATTCACTCTGTGACTCTTTGTTCATTTATCGCCTCCTCGTCTATCTATTACGGAAACACCCCTGAAAAAACATGTAACATGAATAAATGTAACTGTTGACCTTTCCCCCTCCCCACAGAAAAGTATAATTAAGCTAATTTTTTTTAAAAAATTAAAATTATGCAGCCCCATAGTTTTGCAACAACTTATTCACAAAGCAGAATCATATGTGCCTCCAACAAGATGAAATAGGGATTTTTTGGTACTTTTTGTAATACAGGAAGAACAGTTCTTATCTGGATAAGCTTGTCTGTTGGTTGACAATTATCAGCTAAATTTCTTAAAGTGATCATTTCCTTATAATTCAAGGTAAAGAAAAAAATACAAGTTATTGAGAAATATTATGCTAATCAACCTGCCAGCCTGAGAAACTTATTAACACATAAGAATTAATGTAACTTATCAAAACCCACTTATATGTGTCTACTCAGAAGTAACTGCCACGGTATTCTATGAGGCTCAATCCCATCTCTACCAAGTACATTTAGGACTGCATGAAAACATTTACTTCTAATAAGTCTAATTTGAGCATATTTATTTCTTCATTTTACAGACGCTCTCTTTTATAGGCTTTACTAACAAACAATTGATATCTACTGACATTTACAAATGAATTGGCACAATCCTTGTGTGTCTTCTCATGTGTAAGCCCCATGGAAGTGGACGGGAAATATAGAAGGACAGGGCAAAAAGGAAAGCTGCTTTATACCATTGGTTCATCTAGTTTGGGATTGTCTACACTGGCGGGAAATGACTCTCCAAGAGCTCCAAAATATCTCTGTAGATGTTATCAAAATTGCGAGGTAGCACCCATTCAATATCCAATTGCAAATAATTCATAGTTGGCTTCATATAAAGTTAAATGATATCTAACAATTTTTGTTTTTATATCAATTCCAACATTTCTTTTCTGATATTTATATATTGAATTTTCTGATTTCAATGCTGCATATATATTTTACCAACACTGAAAAGAGTCTCTACATTTAGATAGCGCCATCCCAGACATTCTTATAATATGATACCTTATTGATAAACTGAATTGATGATTGACAATGATGGTTTATAACCATAAGGATTTCCAGTGATGTCTGTAAGTTTTTGTTTTTCAAGAAAGACAGATGCTTTTCAATTACATGTTTTCATTTAAACACTCAAGAAAGCTTAGAAAGTGAACAATGCAGCTATTGAATTCAAAAAGCTGTAATCACATTTCACATTTCATTCTTTAGAACAATTATTGGGCTCTGACTAACGGCTTGTGGACAAGGTTTTCTCTGCTCTGCAGAAGGTAAAGTCCTGAACAGACTAGCTTTCAATGCCTGGGCTGTAATGATGTTGGAATGCTGGTTGCCAAACAGCCACAAACATACCCAAAAAGGATTAGAAAGAGAAGGAGAGACATAACATTCCCCCTTCTATCTGCTTACATGGAGCCTGCAATCAAGCTGTTGCCATAGAGTCCTTGGGTTGAGCTTTAAGAAATCTTCCTCAATTTGAAACTGACCTCACATATTTGATCCCTTATAAGGGCAGCTGCCCATGGTTTGTGTCCATCTCTTTCCACAACTCCTGTGTTATTTTAGAATCATATCGTTAGTCTTTTCGGAGTCTTTTTTGCCCCTTTTGTAATGCAGAAAATTGAACACAACAGTCAGGCTAACATGATGAAAGCTACCCCATTAGAAACAATAACATTAGAAAGCTACCCATTAGTTTGCAGGCTTCTCATTAAGAGAGACATCAACCAAGTGCAGCTGTATTCTTAAAAATCACTCATTTTGGAATGATCCTATTGATCCTTAAAAACTTCACACTACAATGTAGCCCATTTGCTCCCTCTCCCCATTGAAAGAACCTTCCTTCCTGCATGTATCTATCCTGAGGCAAAACTTACTCCATCTCTGCCTCAAGAACACTGGGCAGGCATTGCAAAGGAAGGCCTTTTCAATGGTGGGATCCAGATTCTGGAATGTGTTGGCCTGGGACAGAAACCTAGGTTGTTCCTTTTACCACATGTGGTGGACGTGTAGTATAATTAAAAACTACTGGGCAATGATCCATAATGAAGTAAAAAAAAATGTTTTAGAAATCCTTCTCTAAAAACCCAGAAGTATTGTTGCTGGAGTTAATAACAACAGAAGTGACTAAAAAAGAGAGAAACTTGTTCCTCTACGCAACAACAGCTGCACCTGTACTACTAGCCACAAAATGGAAAACAGATAAGGCACCAAAAAGAAGAAGAATGGCGTATCAAATTGTTAGAATACGTGGAGTTAGCAGGGATGACCACTATGATAAGAAATCAAAATGATGAAAGCTATAAGGAGGACTGGATATTTTTCATTGAATATGTGGAAAAATATAATAAACTAACAATTAACCGAGCGAGATGGTAAGATTTTTCAGCAGTGTAAGAAAAAACTAATGTGTATTTAAGTAGTTACGATAGGTGGGGTGAACCAAGAAAACGTGAGAAACAGAGGAGACAAAAGGAACTATGGAAGGAGAGGATGAGAAGTCAGCGGAGGAATGCTTTCTGGTTTTCTGCTTATTTTTTGATTTCCTAAAACTGTTCTTTCTTTTCTATTTCAGAGTTTTCTTTTTTGTGTCCTTTGCATCATTTCCATTCATTTATTTGATATGATATGGAATTGTATCAGAAACACAAATAAAACTAAATATTAAAAAAGAAAGAAACCTAGATCATACATTGCATATTATTAGGTACCAGGTCAAAATGCTGCTTTTTATTTGACCTAGACAAGTGGCACAATTAATCTTGTGCACCTACTGCATTTATTTTTCGCCTTCACTTGCATATCTTCACTTTGTGTTATTGTCTTTTGATATTGTATTAGTGACAACTTCTTTAGTGCTAGGTACCATCTGTAGTTAAGTTTCAGAGTGAGCTCTCTCTTTCTCACTGAAATGGATTTAAATGATGGTTTAGACCACATTTTTGAACACTGGGTAGAGTTTATTTTGTATCCTATGTTGTGTTCCCAGGTGTTGAGGGTGTTTGTGGTTTCTTGGAGTAATGTTTTATATATTGTAGATATAGGAGCATCATATGTCTGGTTTTCCTGGTTTTTTCAGGGTTAAAATTTCTGCCCAGGTTTTTTTAAAAAAATTGGCAAAATGTCCAGGGTTTTTTGTTTTTTAGTAAAACGAAAAAAGATCCCTGAGTGAGTTGAATTGCAATTCATTCATAATTTGGCTGTGTGGCAGCTGCTGCTTGTGTGAATAACCGAGTGCCTTTCTTCTGTTCCAATCAGCAGGAGAGAGTAGGCTGGCTCTCCTGACTTGCCTGCTCTGTAGCTGCTTTTGCTGGCTTCTAATCGCGACTTGCAGACATGGCCACTCTTTGAACATGCTTTGTGGGTGCTGTTTAATTTCTTCCTTCCTCTCATCCTGAATCACTATACCCGGCTGTCAGGTGGTGGTGTGGTTGATCGAGAGCAAACAGGCAAGACTCCAACCTGTCTTTTCCAGCTTTATTCTTAGTGCGAACTATTTACAGTGAAGAGCGTTGCAAGTTCATGTCTGGCTCAGTCGCTAGCAGAATCTGGGAGTGGCCAGTCCTTGTACTTCCCCCAGCATAACAGCCGTGTGGCCCCCATCCTTCTCCTCCCCTCTCTGTGCCGAAACCTACTGCGCAGAGTGGGTGCTGGCAAAGGGGTACTTCCCTCCCCTCCGCTTTGCTCAGGCTCCGTGTTAAGACTCTCCCTAGCATCTCCTGGTCCCCGCACCTCCTCCCCACTGGAGGAGGAACTGCTTCGCAAGATCTTCGGAGGTTCCCTATAACACAACTGCCCTTCCACCTCTCGCCTCTGAGCTGATGGCAGTTCCCTGACACCGGTCCTTGAGGTATTGCAGTGCTGAGCCATTTAAGGATTTATAGGTCAAAACTAGCACTTTGAATTGGGCCCGGAAACTATTTGGTAGCCAGTGCAGTCAGACCAGGATTGGTGTAATATGCTCTGGTGAGCAACCTGGCCACTGAATTCTGCACTAGCTGAAGTTTCCGAACCATCTTCAGAGGCAGCCCGATGTATAACGCATTGCAGTAATCAAACCTTGAGGTTACCAGAGCATAGACAACAGTAGTTATGCTATTCCTGTCCAGATAGGGGCGTAGCTGGGCCACCAGCCAAAGCTGATGGAAGGCACTCTGGGCCACTGAGGCCACCTGAGCCTCGAGTGACAGCACAGGATCCAGGAGTACCCCAAAGCTATGAACCTGCTCCTTCAGAGGAAGTGTAACCCCATCAAGAGCAGGCGATTTCCCATCCATCTGGTCCAGGGAACCACCCACTAACAGTGCCCCAGTCTTATCTGGATTGAGTTTCTGTTTGTTGGCTCTCATCCAGTCTATTACCGAGGCAAAACATTGGCCAAGCACTTCCACTGCCTCACCTGCAGATGCAAAGGAGAAATAGAGCTGAGTGCCATCAGCATACTGGATTTGAACTGAACCACCCTTCAAGTCAAAGATTCCTTCTTTCCAGGGACATAGCTAACTGCTCCAGCACCCAGAGTGGCGGGGGCGGGCGAGCTGCCCATGGGGATAGGTGAGCTGTCCACGGGGGCTCCGTGCCAAGTCGCACACCGGGGCACCGCACAGGGGTGCTGCGGCGATCCGTGCATGGGGGCGCCACACAGGGGTGCCGCGATGATCCGCACATGGGGGCACTGCAGCGAGCTGCCCATGGAGTTCGCCTGGTGGACACAAGCCCCACGCTGCCATTTCGGGCAGCGTGGGGCCCCAAGCCACCGCGTCACTGCTACGAGAGATGCATGGCCCGGGTGCGCTGTAGGCCAGACCCTGCGGTAAGTGCCGATCACCGTGGTGGGCCATTTTGTCACACACACACCCATGGATGACACCCGGGGTGAACCACATCCCCTGCACTCCCCTTCCTACGCCCCTGCTTCTTTCAGAGGGCTGTGCTCTGACAGCTCTTCAGATAGAAGATTGTTCTCTGTAAAGTCAGACACATGGCTACCCTAATCTTATAACTAGCAATGATCTGTTGTTCAGACAATCATCCCCATTTCACAGGGAATTTAGTTTGAAAGGTAGGAGCTTGAACACGGCTACTGGAAGGAGACTGGATTGTCTTAGGACAGAGCTTTCTGAACTTTTCATGTTGGTGACACACTTTTTAGACATGCATCATTTTCTGACACAGTAATTCAGTTTTACTAGCAAACTAGAGGTCAAACTAACCCCGTGAGGAGCACAGGGAACATGCATGTGGCACACCTACACACTGCAGCTGACACACTAATGTATCATGACACACAGTTTGGAAAGCTCTGTCTTAGGTTATGAACTGAGCAAACACCCAGCCTCTGAAGGCAGGTTTGCATTGGGCTGTACACTTCAGCTGTAAGGTGTGCACTTTCACGTCCCCTTAAGTTGCATAATTCAAAGTGGCATAATACTAGCCGGATCATGACCATTGTCAGATTTCTCCCCCTCTGCTCATAAGACCAATCCACTTGCTAAGTGAGTTAAATGGAATTTGGAAAAGGGTCCAGCCTGTGCTGGCAGTATGGGATCTTCCCTGCCCCCAGCTTTTTATCTGATACCTGTGATTTGCACAGCAACCTAGGAATCAAACCATTGCTGGGGGCTTTTGTAAGACTAAGGGCTGATTCTTGTGCTCCTTTTCCAATATGGTAAAGCCATATTGTTATTTTTCCAAATCTTTTTGACAAGGATGCCATTTCTTCTGCACACTCCCTCAATTGATAAGATCCAATTTCAAGCTGTCTCATATTGACCCAGATCACTGGTGTTTCTAGTCCAGGACTGTCTATCTTGACTGACAGCGGCTCTCCAGGGCCACAGGCAGAAATCTTTTGCACCGTGCTAAATGAATTCATTTTGATGCAAGGGACTGAACAGTAGGGTCTCAGATTTCAGCAGCATCCTGTGTGAAGCCCACATTCGGCACACACACATGCCTTCCAGTCTACATAATAGCTGTGCCATCTCCAAGGCTCCATGCCCAGTGTGACCGAACCAGTTGTGTTCCCCTAAAATCCCAGAGCCTAGGGCTTGCCGATCAGAAGGTCGGCAGTTTGAATCCCTGCAACGGGGTGAGCTCCCGTTGCTCTGTCCCTGCTCCTGCCAACCTAGTAGTTTGAAAGCACGTCAAAGTGCAAGTAGATAAATAGGTACCACTCCGGTGGGAAGGTAAATGGCGTTTCCGTGCCCTGCTCTGGTTCGCCAGAAGCGGCTTAGTCATGCTGGCCACATGACCCAGAAGCTGTACGCCGGCTCCCTCGGCCAGTAAAGCGAGATGAGCGCCGCAACCCCAGAGTCATTCGCGACTGTACCTAATGGTCAGGGGTCCCTTTACCTTTAAATGAATTCATTTTGATGCAAGGGATTGAACAGTAGGATCTCAAATTTCAGTGGCATCCTGCGTGAAGCCCACATTCGGCACACACACATGCCTTCCAGTCTCTTCTTCTTTTTTGGTGATCACTCGTAGCCGAGTAAGATTGTCTTCCATAAACATGGTTTTAACAATGAGTCCGTCAGTGACTGTGGAGGCCAATTCTGGATCCACACATCCTTCCACAGTGGGGACATTGGTTTCCGGGTGGGAGTTGATCACGGTGTGGATTTGCCAAGCATGCCTTCCTCCTAGCACATTTCTCCCTTGTGTCCTGAGTTCAAGCATCTTCAAAGCCCATGACACCTTTGGTAAAGGCTGTTCTCCAACTGGAGCGCTTGCAGGCCAGTGTTTCCCAGTTGTCAGTGTTTATACTACATTTTTTTAGATTTGCCTTGAGACAGTCTTTAAACCTCTTTTGTTGAGCACCAGCATTATGCTTTCCACTTTTAAGTTCGGAATAGAGTAGTTGCTTTGGAAGACGATCATCAGGCATCCGCACAACATGACCAGTCCAACGAAGTTGATGTTGAAGAATCATTCTTCAACACTGGTGATCTTTGCTTCTTCCAGTACACTGATATTAGTTTGCCTGTCTTCCCAAGTGATGTGTAAAATTTTTTGGAGACACCGTTGATAGAATCTTTCGAGGAGTTGGAGATGGTGTTTATAAGTGGTCCATGTTTCACAAGCGTATAGTAAGGTTGGTAGTACAATAGCTTTGTAAACAAGCATTTTGGTTTTCCTGCGAATGTCCCAGTCCTCAAACACTCTGCACTTCAGTCAGGAGAAAACTGCACTCACAGAGCTCAGGCTATGCTGGATTTCGGCATCAATGATCTTTCACACTGAAAGAGAAGTGAAACGTGTCCAATTTTTATTCACCATGTACAGATTCTCTCACTTGACTGGGATTTGTAGTTATTTAGCACTTGTTCCAACAAGGCAGGGAAACTAGTTAAGAATACATGAAGTTAAATGATTCAGACAAGAGTCACCTCCTGACTTTGTGTAAGTTAAAACTGCATGTAACAAAATCTTAGAAGAGCCTGATAAAACTTCAATTGTAATTGCTCCAGATATGTTGTTTATTACTCAGATTCTGAGCAGACACCAGAATGAGTATGTCACTGCCAGACATGGCCGATAATTTGTGAATAGTCTGGCTAGAGATTGTGTGTGCCAATGTGAGGCTCGCCTGACCACTGGACTTTGGGACATTTGTCCCGTCTCAGTAATACATTTACTTCTTAGGAGGTCAGCTGTAATCAACAACTCCTTTGCATGACACTGGCCGCATCCAGACAGCACTTTATTCCATTTTCCTGACATTTCCTTACCTGATAATTTTTATGTTTTATGTGATCTTTCATACAATGTAAAACTCACTTCGGGAAATCTAATGGAAACTAGGAGAAGTTTACCATTTATTTCTGCATGAATTGCTGCTGGGTGGGGGGAATCTGTTTGCAACCCCCAATAACCAGGGAAATTGTGGGAGTCTAGCACTATATTTTTCCAGTGGTTTTCATGATCACACCATGTGATGAAATTTGGAATGGTATTTTGGCATACAGTTCTTTCCCACCATTTTCATGTGTGAATCACGGGAGAACAAGTACATAGAGTGTGGTGGCATGTCCACTGATGTGTCACACCATGGCCCCTGGTGTGAATGAAATTTAGTGTGACATGGGGGTAAATCAATCAAAAAGCCAGAATTCCATAATGTGAAATGTAAAAGGAGGACCAAGAACCGTGGAAGTGCTAGCAGTAGAACCAAGAAAACTAATGCAATAATCCCCACTTCTGAATCCATCATCAATGAGGCTGTCTTCTGAGTAGACATAGAATTGTAGAGTTGGAAGGTACCCCAAGGGTCATCTAGTCCAACCCCCTGCAATGCAGGAATCTCAACTAAAACATATGTTGCAAAAGGCTATCCACCCTCTGCTTAGAAACCTTCAAGGAATGAGGCAAACTATTCTATTGCTGAACAGTTCTTATTGTCAGAAAGTCCTTCTTGATGTTTCATTGGAATCTCATTTCTTGTACTCTTAATCCATTGGTTCAGGTCTCCAGAGCAGGAGAAAACAAGCTTGCTCCATCCTCCATGTGACAGCCTTTTAGATACAGCATTTGAAAATGGCTTTCATTTCTCCTCTCAGTCTCACCTTTTCCAGGCTAAACATACCCTCAGCTCTTCCTTATAAGGCTTGGTTTGCAGACCCTTGGTCATCTTGGTTATTCTCCTCTGCATGCATTATAGCTTGTCAATATCCTTTTTAAATTGTGATGCCCAGAACTGGACATATGACTCCAAGTGTGGCCTGACAAAGGCAGAACAGAAGAGAACTATTAACAGAGCAGAACATGTAATATATTGAATTCATAATATGTCTTATGGTGCTTAAAGTACTGTAGCATTTTGAATATCATTACAGTGGTACCTCAGGTTAAGTACTTAATTCGTTCCGGAGGTCCGTACTTAACCTGAAACTGTTCTTAACCTGAAGCACCACTTTAGCTAATGGGGCCTCCTGCTGCTGCTGCGTCACTGGAGCACGATTTCTGTTCTCATCCTGAAACAAAGTTCTTAACCTGAAGCACTATTTCTGGTTTAGCGGAGTCTGTAACCTGAAGCGTATGTAACCCGAGGTACCACTGTACAATTCTCTGCTAAAGAGACCTGGGCCTAAAATCCCAAGATTCCATGGGAAGAATCCATGTCAAAGAGACATTGCTATGCAACCAAGTCACGCTTCTATAAATTCAGTTTCTGAAATCCTCCACATCTGCCTACGTGCTTGGCTGCATCTAGCTTCTAATCATTCTTCCATGGGTTCCATGAAGATTTATGATAATGTCCATTTGCAAAAATAAATAAATAAAAATAACCACAGGAGCTGCACCACACACAAAAAATAAAATGCCTTTTTTTAGGGAACAAGCTCCATCTATCTTCCCTATGGCCAAAAATATATAAGCAATGCCAGAAATCTGAAAGTGATTGTCACGTTGTTGCCTTACAATGTTTTAAGTTTGGTTTTTCAAAAGTCTTGGGATACTGCTTGCATCCTCTGAATCCTTTTAGCCCATAGGGATTTTGCAAATAGCTCTGCAGATCTTGCTGAAAAGTCCGTGCACCATATTTGATGCACTCTACTTGGGAGAATGTCGTGCATCTGGCACAATATTTCTCCAGGCTCTTAACAGACATATCAGTCATTTCACTGAATTTTTGCTTGTGGGAAGAGGTTTTCCAGCTCCTTCCTGCCAAATCTGAGTATGCCAGAAATATACAGGCCAGGACATTCTTCTCCATTGCCTTATAGCTGGAGCGTAAAGGGGCAAGGGACAGGAAGGGGGGAAGGGGGCAGGGGCCAGAAGAGAGTCGGCTGCTGGGCAGGGGCCAGGGGGGCAAAGAGTGAAGTGGTTCCAAGATCAGAATAAGCCCAACTTGTGAGGGAGGGGGTGGAGCTATCCAGGCACAAGCTGGGTCAGCTGCAACTTAAGGCTTCACATTCATGAGGAACCTCTAAATGCCCAAAATTAATGGATTCCAAGTTTTACATTATTGGTTAAGAAATAATGGAAAACATACACCTTTGACATGACAAATATATATTTAATGGTTGCACCATCATTTGCCATATTGTATTTATAAATCTATTCAGAAAAGCTGTGATACTAGTACACTGGTATCTCCGGTTGCGAATGGGATCCGTTCTGGAGGTCTGGCCGCATCCCGAGGAATTCGCAACCGGAGGACCGCGTCTGCGTATGCATGTGCGGCGAAACCTAGAAAAAAACTTCCGAGTTTGCTGCGTTCACATCCCAAAGTTTACATATCCAGTGGGATACGTAAGCAGAGGTATGACTGTACTAAGACTGTATATGCTAAGTACGAAATCACAAGGTATTTTCATTTAAAGGTATTTTATATGCAAATAATCTTATTGCAATATATGTTTTAGATAGATTGCTGGTTTTCCATTGCATCATCACCTTAGTATATATTCAAATATAAAGGTACAATAACAGAACCCCCCATCTTTCCCATTGGTCTAACATAAGGTTCAGACACTTGGTACCTGGATGCAATGCCTACACTGGTTGGGGGCACAAGCAAACTCCACCCCACCCCACCCCCCGCTCTCAGCTATGCACACAAGGTCAGCCTTCTCATCCTTCATTAGATCATGCTTAAGGGATATCTTATTGTGAACCAACCTGGCATTTATAAGCAGCCCCCAGAGACCCGCCGGCAGCCTGGCACAGCCACCAGCAAACCTTCAGCTGGAAAAAGTGTCAGAACAGAACACAGGCTGCAGCGCCCTGTGCCGTGGTCCAGGCTAGGTGAGTTCCCCTCAACTTGACGCACCCTTGATCCAACTCCATAGCTACCCCTCATCCAAGGCCACTGAAAATGGACTCCCATCTACTGCCCCCACGTGGCCCAAGGTACATTTTCCTAGGCACATGATAGATTTGATAAATAATTCCTGGCTCCCTTATAAAATAATACACACACTGACCAGCAGATAAATCTAAAACACAGATACCCACCCCTTAGCTCAGAAGTCAGCTCAGCAATGCAGCTCTTCCCCCCTCAAGGCAGGCAGCTGCAAATTGGGTTGGTGGGTGCGGGTGTCCTCCAGCGATGAGGGAACATCTCTCTCCCTGAAGAGAAAAGCAGCAGCTAAAGCAGAGCAGGGACAGGTGGCGAAAGTTTGCCTTTCCTGTAGTTCTTCTGTATCCTGCTCCTCTCCTACAGCTCCTGGAGGTCCATTTCCACTGTCCTTTCTGTGAGAATAATGCACTTAGCAGTGGGGTAATGCTATGGAGTACGGCTGGATCAAGACCTTTAGAGGCCATAAGCGCCTAAAAGATTTTGGTGTGCCAAAAATCTAATTCAAAATATCAACAATAATAAACCGTAAAATAAAATTGCATTCTTTGAAATGAAATGAAACCTGCATTAAGATGGAAAATAAAGTTTATTTTTGTATACTTCCACTTTATGTATATTTGGGGGGAAATCTCCTACTTTTTATAATTGCGAAGTGTTTGATTAGATACTCAGAAATAATCTTACGTAACACATCTGCTTCTGTAGAGGTGAGGCTTCCAGCCTTGCCTTGTTGCATAGTTGTTCGGTTGGGATTTTTAATATACTTCAACTGAGAAAATGAATGCTCAGCTGAGCAATTTGTGTGGGGAATTTCTGTCATGCCCACCTTCCCTTGGTGCCCTAAGTAAGCACGTGCTTATTTTGCTAATGGTTAATCCAGCCGTGCTATGGGGCCTTTTCAGTTTGACATAGGGCCTTAGTATGCTTTAATCCAATCCTGATCCTGACTCTCCCTGGTCCACATCCATCACCAGTCCAACTCTGCACCCTCCATGAGTGTCTTACCTGGCTGGAATGTGTCATTGAACTCTGATAACTTTGAACTCCCCTTTGGCCTGGGGAGTCAGATGTCACAAAGGTTGCCGGGGATAACTGTATGTTTGAGGGGTCAGGAAAAGGGAGGCTTGAAGCAAGGGTTTCTGGGCAGAAGGAGGAGGAAGGAAGGCTGTGATCCATCTTTGAGGGAAGCAGCCTGAAGGGTACTTGTGCTTGCTGTAGGAACTGGGCATTCCCCATGCAGACTGAAGGTGTAAATAGGCGAGTAAATCCTGTTTTTTAAAGCACCGCAGTCTCTGCCATGTCTCTGCTCTCCAAAGGGGCACAGACCCTGTGTGTCTGCCCCATGTGCTCTTGCCATTGCTTGCCAGAGAGAGGGAGGGGCAGACACCAGGTTTTTGTAACAATATATACTCAGGGGCGTAGGAAGGGGGGACGGGGTGCACCAGGTGCCATCATGGAAGGGGTGACAAATTTTCAAGGAACAATTACTGCACTATTAGGGCGGTTCATAAAAAACTTTTTTTAAAATGCCTGTCCCAAAGGTCTTACCTTACTACACTAGGAATTATATAGCTATATATGAAACTTCATGCATATCAGTTCATATCCTCCTCCACGAAAATAGCTGTTTACTTGGCTGTTTTCCTGTCGTGAAGGCTGAAATTTCCATTCAGGGGAGCAGGGTCAAGACTGGCCAGCTGGGTTGGGGGCGAAGGCAAGCCAAGGACGAATCTACTCAGCCTAGTCTCCTTTTCTTCACCTAGGCGACTTTCCGGGCTGCCGGGGAAGCCTGCCAAGGCCACTGCCTGGTCTGTGCACCCCCTTCGGGCCCCAATCCCCCTCCGGAAAGCCTCTGCTGCACCTGAAAGTGGAGCGTGGGGGACCATGGCAGTGCTGCCGCCTCGTTTTGCCCGCATGTGGCGCCGGGAGGAGCAGCTCAGTCAGTGCCGCCCTGGACACTCGGCAGGCCGGCCTCCCCTTTGCCCCCAGCCTCCCCTGCATGAAGCGAGGACCCCCAAAAGCAGTTGTGGAATTCAAAGAAGAGGAGAAAAAGCAGCAAAGCAATTCTGTGGCTAATTGAACAATTCCTTTAAATAGGTTCTATTAATGAAGGGACACGGGTGGCGCTGTGGGTTAAACCACTGAGCCTGGGGCTTACTGATCAGAAGGTCAGTGGTTCGAATCCCCACGACGGGGTGAGTTCCCATTGCTCGGTCCCTGCTCCTGCCAACCTAGCAGTTCGAAAGCACGTCAAAGTCCAAGTAGATAAATAGGTACTGCTCCGGCAGGAAGGTAAACGGCGTTTCCGTGCGCTGCTCTGGTTCGCCAGAAGCGGCTTAGTCATGCTGGCCACATGACCCGGAAGCTGTATGCCGGCTCCCTCGGCCAATAGAACGAGATGAGCGCCACAACCCCAGAGTCATCCACGACTGGACTTAACGGTCAGGGTACCTTTACCTTTACCTTTACCTTTAATGAAGTTCACACTTTTGACAACCAGTCTGATGCTTTTGCAGAAAAATATTCCTAGACACAAGACTTTTATTTTTTAAGCCCTTTCAGTCTCCCATCTCAAGGCTAAGTACAGCAAACGGTACATTCCCACCCCTCTCCCCAGGGCCGGATTATTGACTTCTGTGTGCTTGTGTATCTGTGTCTCCCTCGTATCTATTAGGGACTATTCTCTCGCCTTTCCTTTGATATCTGTGCTACTGATTACTTCTGCCATTTTAATTTTAGAGAAAGTTTTTAATTTAAAAAGGATCTGTACTATAGAATAACAGTGGTAACAATACATTGAAGACAAGTAAATATTTTGGGGAGGGTGGTCCCAGAGCCCTAGTGCCCCCATCCCAAAGAGGATAAAATGGGCAAACTTTGGTCCTCTTTTCCCCTCCCCTCCCCCAAGGTCTGGCTCCCTGCCTGTTACGTTACATGCGGGGAAACCCGTGTGGGGTTCCTCTCTGTGTAAAGTCTTCAAGCTTTTCCTGCGCACGCCTGACAAATCTGCCCCATTGTCAAAATTTACCTTTCCCCCCACCTCCAGTCTCCATTGTTGGGTGTCCTGGCTGAGGGGGAAAACAGAAGACAGATGGCCATCAGTCAGGGATGGTTTAGTTGAGATTCCTGCATTGCCCCAGGGGTTTGGCTAGATGACCCTCAGGGGTCCCCTCCAACTCTACAATTCTCTGGTGCAGGCTTGTGCAAAGTTTTAGGTACAAGTTGGATGCGAGGGGTGCAAACGATTGCAGCCCATCTTATGCACCGTCGGCTCAGGAATAAGTCCCACTGATCATGATGAGACCAGATTGCTGCTGTGCAGTCCTGTTTTTTAAAGAAATGTTTTCCTTTTCAGATAATACAGAGCATGGTGAAATCACAATAAATAAAACCTCCCCTTCAGTAGTAGAGATCACATTCACCCGGTGCTATACCAGCTGCACTGGCTCCCGGTGGAGTACAGGATCAGGTTTAAGGTGCTGGTTTTAACCTTCAAAGCCCTATACGGCCTAGGACCCTCGTACCTATGGGACCGCCTCTCCTGGTATGTCCTACGGTCTTCAAATAAAAACATCTTGAAGGTCCCAGGCCTCAGAGAGGTTAGGCTGGCCTCAACCAGAGCCAGGGCTTTTTCGGCTGTGGCCCCAATCTGGTGGAACTCTCTGTCACAAGAGACTAGGGCCCTGCGGGACTTGACATCTTTCCGCAGGGCCTGCAAGACGGAGTTGTTCTGCCAGGCCTTTGGTCGGGGTTCAGTCTGACTCCCTCTCCCCTTTCATAAGAACTTGCATGAAAGTGGCCTCCCAATTTTTCTCACAGGCCCATATAAATTCAGCACAAACAGTTGGGCCTGGTGAGCATTTAAGGTCCCAAATCCCTAATCTGCAGGTTGCCATCTGATTGGATTTTATTCTGATCCTGATCTGATTTGAGGATGTATTTTAATTGATTGTCTGATTTTATGTTAATGTGTTATACATTTGATGTTAGCCGCTCTGAGACCGGCTTCGGCTGGGGAGGGCGGGATATAAATAAAAATTTTTATTATTATTATTATTATTATTATTATTTGGAACTCCCCGCCTATTGCAACAAAGCACGTGCCTTTGCTAGACTCTTTTCGGGCACCTGCTGAAAGCATTCTTCTTTAGGCAAGCATACCCAGATGCTTAGGAAGTTGTAGTAATTTTAATCTTAATATTTTAGCTTTTTATGTTTTAAAGTAGAATTGTTAATTTTTCTTTATTTTACTGCTGTGAGGGTTTTTTTTGTTTTTTGTTTTGGTAAACCACTTTTTGGTAAACCAGGTTTTTAAAAATAAACAATAAATATGAATAAAATAACACAAGCCAAAACACAATCCATCCTGTAGATTTAAGTATCTGTCCATAGTCGCCTACTTGTTATCAGAGGCCCAGAATCCACATTTCTTTGTAAGAAAATATGAAATAAAGTAAAACCATTTTTGCAGTCAAAAATAAATATAAATAAATAAATGGGGGGGGTGAGAAGAAATTTTCCGCACCAGGTACCACCTGACCTTCCTTGGGGCCCCTCCCCTGTCATGTTTGGTGTTCAGCAGCAGGAGTTTTTGAAGGAATCCTGTAAGCAGGGCCAGTTTGGGAGAGGGGTTGCAGGGGGCATTTGGCCTGGGGCACAACCTCAAAGTGGGCCTCAGATTTAGTCGCTTCTTAATATTTTTGGTATTTGATTCTTCTCTCAGCTTGTTTCTACCTGCAGCAGACCAAAATGTGACACCCACTCCCAGCTTAGAGCTGCAAACTTAAGCAAATGAGAGATGTGATTTGGTAAAAGACATGGTTCTTTTTTTGTTCGCAGATATTTCATCATATTTAATTACATCTCACTTCTTTGGTGTGTGGCGCTATTTTGTTTTGTGTTCCATCATTTTTAATTTTTTATTCTGCCTAAAGCTGGAAGTGGCCTAGGTCTCTCTGGACCACTGAAACCGGGTGTCCCTGGTCATTGTTCTTGCTGGCCAGGGCTGGGAGCAGCACACAGGCACTCAAAGGCTTGGCCAGTATTCTCTGTAAAACAGACTGCAAACACACACACACAGGAAGCATGCCCCAGAACTTTGCGATTTGCAGTGTTTCTGAAGAAAATTCAAAAAGCACCATAGACAGTCGAGTCTGCAGCAAAATAAGCACTCCAGCATAAGTTTGCGATGAGATAACATTCTTTTTATTGCTAAAAGAGATATAGCATAAATTAATATCTAAATATAACAGTTTTATACTTTTCATTTATTCCATTTATAGTTAACCCTATGTTGTAAGCATCCCAGAAGCATTCAGTTTAAAAAAATCAACAGAATATGCATAAGAAAAAAAATATACACAACGTCCCCTGCTTCCATTTAAAAAAAGCCAGTCACAGGACGGGAACCGTTCCTTAGCCATATTGCTAGTGAGCCTGGCATGGTTTCCGTTTTAATATGACTTTGACATCTCCGCCAGATAGTGGGTTTTTCTTCTTCACATTCCAGTGTCACAGAAGAGAAGTACTGTCTGTATTTCATCCTCAGCTTTGGGTTTTCGGTGTCTGTAACACTTTCTGGGTCATTTACAAATTTTGGCTTGGAAGTGTTTATTTCACTCCTTTTCCAAAAATATTTTTCACCCAGAACCAGAGTTCCACTTAACAGCTGCGAAGCTGCAGCAAGAAACCCAACATAGATGGCCATTCCAGCACGTTGTTCTGTGGGAATCGGAGGCACTCCCAAAACCTCCGGAAGCGGAATGCCTTCGTTTGTTAATAGGGAATGAAGATTCCATGCAATGGAAATCAGTACACAAGTACCCGCTGCCAACTCTATCCTTGCTCCAGTTGAAAAGAAGGTATTGATGAAATTCTCGTCTTTTCCCGGCTCAAAGATGTTGCATAGAGCAAAGGCCATCCAAAGAACGGTCACCGCAGTGGCCACTGAGGCCATTGGCATCAAGTCCTGGGCCACAATGATTTCAGCTGGCAGGGACTCCTCATCATTGAATGGTATACATATCATGTTAGTTTTCTTCATAGGAACTCTTCTGACGGAACAGACACCCCAGATGCCAATGCCCACAATGCCCTGCTGGTTGCTGCCCATGATTTTGTCTACTTGCCACACTCTCCAGTCAAGGTTGGCAGATGTGGAGCAGATGCTCATTAGGCAGCCCAGGACAGCCAGGAGAAAGGCAGCTAGTTGCACGCAGGACACCCTGCACAAGAGGCGGACTGGGAAGGACCCATCATGCGCCTGGGGTGGAAGTTCCGCTTAGCGCTCGGAAGGCTGGCGATAGAAGGCATGCTGGAGAAAAAGACAGACAAAAGATAACCGTTAGATACTTAGGCACAGTATCATATGGACATCTCCTAAAGTTTGAGCAAATAGTGATGTGCAGCTAAAACAATGCCATCCTTCTAGGGCAAATTCTGCATTTCCCACCATGAGACGTAGGAATGGAAAAGTCTGCTGTACCTGCAATCATAAGTGCCAGGAATCAGACTTCCCCAGGGGTGAAGAAATTGCACAACGGCACAACCCCTTTTGTTCTAGGGACCCCCTCCATGCAGATAATTGGGCTCTTGTCTAGTCCACTCCTCCTCTGCATTCCTATGCTCCCCTCCCTTCCCTCTCCATTGGTAAAATGTCAGGCATGATCCCACCAAAGTTATACATTCTACCCTTGAAAGAAAGTTGGTGCAACAGACCAATACAGTTCCTGTTCAGGAAAGAATCCTTTCTGGCTTTAGTCCTCATTCTCTCTCTCTCTCTCTCTCTCTCTCTCTCTCTCTCTCTCTCTTTCTCTCTCTCACACACACACACACATTGTGAAAAGCCTACCAAGTGGCTCTCAGACAGGACAAAAGGAAATAAAAGTCAATTTGTTCCTATCTGAGAAAGCACTGCTATGTTGGTGGGGAACTGAGGAGCGCTGCATATATGCACCTGCGTGAATCAGTTCTTCAACCAGTCTTTTTTCAGAGCGAGGGCTTTTTCCAGGTCTTTCTTTTCCAGCGTCTGATCTAGGAGAGGACCTGAAAAGAGTGAAGCTGGTCTGAGCACCGTAGGAACTGCTCCTTGGAGTTCTGAGGCAGTTAGAATGCAGCTTGCTTTGAACACTCAGAAGAACACAAATCATAACTCCAGGGTACTGGTCGTTTGGAACATTTGGCAACTGCTTGGAGGCAGGATGCATTTGAATAGCAGTGTGATTCTGCAACTTTTAAAAGACACTTTTTTGTTAGATGTAAGCTTATGCAAAGATTGGATGCAAAATGTGGAAATAAACACCCCAGCTGCCAGTTCCAAAGGAATGAGCAAGCAAGAGTTGAAATAAACAAATAAACAAGTAACATTGGTTTTGAACACCACTTTGAATTACAGCAACTTTATTCAATAGTACTCGTGGATCTGACTAGTCCAGTATCCCTTTTCTAAAACAGAAAATTTTTATAAAAACTCTATGGGGACAAACAAGTATTATCTCTTTATTAGTCTGGCAGAGGTGTGGAGATGTCTGGTACTGTGAAATAATTTCTTGCTTAAGTTAGGGCCAGTTTGTAAATTCATGATGAGGGGGATATCCAGCAATCCCAATCTGAACCCCTGAATGGGAGACCGCCCTCAGTGGCGGAGCAAGCCGATCGGGCGCCTGGGGCAGTGTACGTGCCCTGTGCCCAGGGGCAGGGCCTGCCGCCCACGGGGATGGGGCCAGCTGCCTGCGGGGCGGGGGGCAGGACGCTCTGTGGGGCCTCCGAGGAGTCTGCCTGCCTCCTCCCACTCAGCCACCCTACATCTGAGGGAGAGGCAGTGGGTAGACCGTTTGGGGCAGCGCGGAGCCTGTGGGCGCCCAAGCCACGGCTTCTCTGTATAGATAACAATTTTGCCGCGTTGTAGCGGGAAATCTGCTCCTAAATACCTGTGGTCTTCTGTCAAAGTCATTCCTAGCTGTAAATCACTGTGGAAAAGCTGTAAGGGGCAGAATTGTATTTACGGCAGCAATAAAAACTGGAACTCAGTTCCGGCACCTCTCAGGTTGGCACTGTTGCCATTTATAAGAGAACAAGGAAGACTTTTGTGGTGAGTTCCAGCACCTCTTTTTCTAGAAAAATAGCACAGAGTTTGTACCTTAGGCCTGGGCGGAGTGCCCCCTTTCCCATTCTTCTTCTTCTTGATGTTCCAATTAATCCTTTTTGAACTGAGTCTCAGTCTTGGGTCATGCATGAACCCACCTGCACTTCATGTACTATTCTAAAGACCTCCCCACGAAGGAAGCAATCAAAGGACTAATAAATCTGGTTCTTTTGTCAGTAAAAAAGTTACACACAGTACAACTTCTAACTCTTCACTACCACACAGACCTACACAGTTTGCATACGGTGGAGGAAAACACTGCTGTGCAAGCTTTTGAGAGGCAGAGACACAAGTGGGCATCAGAGGAGGGGGGGAAAGAAAGAGACCAGTGTTTCCTGCGGCACCCCTGACCATCATTCAAGGCACCCCAGGGTGCCATGGCACACTAGTTGAAAACCACTGAAGATACACAATTGGAAGTTTATTTCTTTATTGGTAAAGCACTTGACTATACCAGTTCCTAAGGTGCAAGAATTACATGCACTGCTCCTGTAGGCATCTTCTTTTTCTGACTTGTGCTTTGACCCAGACAGTTGGACCAACACCTCCATCAGCACATCTAAACCCTCTCTTCTTGCATACTGTGCATAGGATGTTGGCAACTTCTCCTGTGCAGCTCCCGTCACATTAAACCCCTCCTCATCTTTGGAGACAGTGGTGTAGGGCAGCATTTCCCAACCTTGGGCCTCCAGCTGTTTTTGGACTACAACTCCCATAATCCTCAGCTAGCAAGACCAGTGGTCAGGGATGATGGGAATTGTAGTTCGAAAACAGCTGGAGGCCCAAGGTTGGGAAACACTGGTGTAGGGGATGGAGGAGATTCTAATGGCCAGACTCTGTCTGGGATCATCTCCTCCCCCTCTGCACCTTCGTGCAACTCTACCCCTGCCTCCCCTTCTCCTATCTCTGACTGCCCAGACTCTTCCTCTTCCTTCTGCCTCATGGGTGGCAACAAACCCCACAATTCACTGGCCCCTTCCCCTGGACCATCATCCCGCCCCCTGTCTCCACTGCCCACCCTTCAGACCCCTGCCTGTCCCTGATACTGCAACGCAACGGGGGTGGGGGGAAGAGAGACTCTTTCGTCTTCACCTTTTCATAGCCAGAATTCACCTTAAGCCAGTGGTTTTCAACCAGTGTTCCATGGCACCCTGGGGTGACTTGAGGAATGTTCAGGGGAGCCCAGGGTGGGGGCTCCTTTCATTAACTTGCAGCCCATATCTTCCTGCATCATCTCTATCTCCTTCCCTCTGACGAACATTCAAAAGAACCGGTAGCTTTAACTTGCAGCCCGTTATCTTCCTGAAATAAAACAGTGGCCAAAAAAAGTAGGGAAACACTTTTGCATGACTGTTTATCTTCTTAAAATCTTTCTCACACACAAACAAAAATCTCCCCCAGCTTTAGTAACTAACAGTTCCTTAGTTTTAGACACAGGGCATGAGAAATGCAAGAAAATAGCAACGGTAGCTTGTTGGTGTGTGTGCCTGGATGTATGTGTACTCTGTAAGGAGGGATTTAAAAATAACCCTGAAAGTGAGGAGTGTCTCCTGTGTTTCTCTCTCCTTCTACCCTCAACATCCCTCCTCACTCTTCTCCTTTACCTCTCCCTTCAGGCAACCCCCCTCCTCCTTAACAGTCACTCAGCTTTATGGGGACAGGAAGAATGCTGCAAGAAAGGACCATGTCCGCAGACCAGGTGTGGCCAAGTGATGCCTACCTAATGGGCATGTGGTTGCATTAATTGGAACACTGCAGTGTTTCTTCCTCCTCATTCCATTGCCTTGCCATTTTAACTCATCTCTGCATGAGGCGAGGCCTGTTTGTTGAACAAGCCGTAATCACAGCTTCTGTGTAATGTATTTGTGGAGGAATCAAGGGATGCCACCAAATTGGCACTTTATCGTCAGGAGGCACATGGAAATGTTACAGCTGTCAGCTCAGAGCAGTAAACACACCCACACACCCCTTAGCTGCAGAATAAAATGAAAAAACACCACCAAAATCTTCCACTTTTATGGAAAGAGGGCAACTCCCAGGAAATGAAGTAAATTAGAAAGCAGATGTACCAAAAGAAAAAGGGGGGCTGCTTTAGTTTTTAATAAGGGCCTGTTGAAGCATGTTGAAGACTCTTAATGAGCCTTTTAACTCTGTTGTTGGGATCCAAAGCACAACTTTGCTGAAGTGGCCACATCTACTTTACGGAGCACAGTCCTTTGTTTGAAGGAGTCCTCAGCTGGAAAAGCTGTTTGAGAACTTAAAGAGAACTAATGGAAAGTGCCCAGCCTTGCTTCAGAATGCTAAGAAAACCCCCCAAAAACAGTGCAGTTTTGAAAGGTTCAGTCTGCCACCTTGAGTGAAAATGGGATCCAATTGTATTGAAATGTAGACAACTATCATCAAACAAAATTTGGTTATGCTTTCAATGAAATAGTTAAATATGCTGTGATCCACTGGGCTAAAGATATAGTACATATCATAGAATTAGAATCATGGGGAAAGTTGTAGAAATCCAGGCTGAAATTCACAGCATGTTATACCTTGAGGGAGAATTTTATAAAAATGATATATAGATGGTTCCTAACACCTAGTACATTAACCCAAATGTATAAATCAACATCAAATCTTTGTTGGAAATGTAAAATAGTAGAAGGCTCGTAGCTAAGGACTTTTGGGAGAATGAAAGGAAATTTCACTTTCCCAAAAGGACCAGAAGCTTTTTTAGTAGGGATAACTGGAGGAGATATTCCAAAAAACTGATAAACCTATTTCTTTACATAACAACGGAAGCACAAATATCACACGCACAAAAATAGCGTAATGAGGTGGTACCTACTAAAGAATAATGGCAGCTGATATTGATACAATATGTAGAATTGGCAAGCTTGACATGTAAAACTTGAGATCAGAAAGAGACTGATTTTAAAGAAGATTGGAAAATACAGATTACTTTAAAACCCAGTGTAAAGATGTTAAAATGCAAAAAGGATTTGAGTAATAACAGCAGTGAGGGTAAACATTGTTTTTACAGTATTGTGAGAAAAGGTAAAGGTATACTATAGAGCAGGCACGTTCAACAGGTAGATCATGACCTACTGGTAGATCACTGGACATCTGTGGTAGATCACTGGTAGTCCACTGTCTCCCTCCAAAGAAGCTCAACAAATTTGGCTCCCCTAAAAAAAGCTCATCATTTTTGCCCGGCACCCCTAAAAATGTGGCTTTCCCCCACCCTAAAAAAAGTTATACAACTTTGACCTAAACCCCTAAAAAATGGGCCTTCCTCTTCCCTAAAAAAAGCTCCAAAAAAGCCCCCCCCCCAGCCCAAAAAAGGGGGTAGATCAGTGCCAGTTTTTAACTCTGTGAGTAGATTGCAGTCTCTTGGGAGTTGGCCACCCCTGGTATAGAGTAGCTACAATATGCAGCATAAATTGAAATTTTGAGGGAACCATGGAGGGAGGGAGGAGAAGTTGTAGGTGGAATGATTGATTGCTAAATTTGAAACATTGAATTGTTTAATTGTTGAAAAATTATAAATAAAATTGTTTTTTTAATTGGTTATGGTATCTCACTGAGGCGTAGCTAGGAGGTGGAGTGGGGTGCATTGGGCGCTACACTGTGGGGGCGGCCCGTCGCCTCCCCCTCAGCTGTAGGGTGGCTGAGGGGGAGGCAGTGGGTGGGCTCCCGCCCCTGCCCAGGTTCGCCCCTCCCTGTGGGTGGCTTGAGCCGTCCCCATGGGCAGTTTCCCCACCCCCAGGCGCCCAAGCGGCTAGCTACGCTGCTGGTATCACAAGAGCTGTCAAAATGCATAGTGTCCAAACTTTTTTCAAAGAGGGCCAGATTTAATGAAGTGAAGGGCCGTGAGGGCCGACCAAAGTTGTTGAGGTTTTCTTAGGATTTTACCCCAGGAAATAAATTGCCGCAGGGGCCAGATGAAACCAACCAGCGAGCCGAATTAGGCCCCGGAAGCGGACTTTGGACATGCCTGGCATAGAGAATAAGCACAGAGACAAACAGCTTTCCTAAGCCTATAACAGAGATGAATAATCAGAAAGGAGAGCAGGGATCCTGAAGACAGCCATTAGCAGTTAGCAACTGGCAGCAGATGAGCAGGCACACGACTCACCTGGCCACGGTTTTTACCACTATGGGGAGAGAGATTATAACAATTATTTCTAAATTTGGCACCTACTGTATACACATAAATTAGCTTATGCAAATCAGTCTCCTATTCTGTCTTCTTTATTAATAACTAGTAGACAGTACCCAGCACTTTCCAGGAATTCTAAGAAACAAGAAAAATACTAAGATTTATATATTTACAATTTAATTTTGTCTAGCTTCTTAAAGACAAAATGTATTTTCATTATATATTCATATAATGACCCCCAAAATGTATTTTCATTAGAGCTGTGCACAGTCCCTACCATCTGACCTGGGAAATATCACCCCATCCTGCCCTGTCTCTGGTCCTGAATAAGTTCATGGGGCAGGACTAATGTGTAATTAAGATTTTAAAACCCAGATAAAACCTAGAGACATTAGAGAACAAGACTGGGGTGCTCCCCCACCCCAAGAATTGCCCCTTCTGATCAATGCAATTAAGGCCCAGAACAGGCATCCCCAAACTTGGCCCTCCAGCTGTTTCAGGACTACAATTCCCATCATCCCTGACCACAGGTCCTGTTAGGTAGGGATGATGGGAGTTGTAGTCCCAAAACAGCTGGAGGGCCGAGTTTGGGGATGCCTGGCCTAGAATCTCACACCAGCTTAACATAAAGAGGACAGACAGAGAAAGGTTTCCAGATGCGTCTCCACCCCCATCGTTCAGCCCAGACACTGAAATCCAGCGCCGAGGGCCTTCCGGCAGTTCCCTCATTGCGAGAAGTGAGGTTACAGGGAACCAGACAGAGGGCCTTCTTGGTAGTGGCACCCACGCTGTGGAACACCCTCCCTTCAGATGTGAAGGAAATAAGTAGCTATCCTATCTTTAAAAGACATCTGAAGGCAGCCCTGTTCAGGGAAGTTTTTAATATTTAACACTGTATTGTTTTTAATACTTGATTGGGAGCTGCCCAGAGTGGCTGGGGAAACTCAGCCAGATGGGCGGGGTATAAATAATAAATTATTATTATTATATTATATATGCTTTATTTTTCATGTTACAAGCACAGGGTGCTTCAGTACACATCATATACAATATAATCACATTGGCTGAATATTGAACCCTGTTCAGTGTGTGTGTGTGTGTGTGTGTGTGTGTGCCAGTGTCAGAGAGAGAGAGAGAGAGAGAGAGAGAGAGAGAGAGAGAGAGACTAGAATGAAGATGGTAACAGTAGGCATTTCCTCCTAGACACACGTTTGAATTTTTGCACAGGGCTGCAATCTAGCCTTCCTTTTTTCCAAAGTGAAGACAATTCATCTGGAGCACTGATGAGTCCCAGAAAATTGAACCTCCTTTTGCTGCAATTCCGGTTCTCATCTCTCCAAAGCATTTGGTTCAGCAGAGCTGCATCACCTTCGAGCATCTATTTATAAAGTTCACTTTCTTCTCCTTCTTTTCCAGACTTTGCATCTGTCTGGCATTGTGTGGTACGCTGCGAAGCATTCATGTGTGTTTAAGTAGTAGCAAACCCCCTTAGCAGTGAAACCAGTAATTAACTTGGCGGCAAACATATGGATGTGGAAGAATCCTCGCACAGAGAATAATTTAATGTTGTCCCTTGTCACTCCTTGGGAATTAATTGCTAAGAGTAGCTTCTGCTGATGCGCTTGAAGACCATGGGTAGAAATGACCCGTGATTAAGAAACAAACTGCACAGGCATAATTGGGCTGGGGGTAAGTGAGGATATTGTCCATCAAAATAGGAAATATCTCTGTCCTTGACATCAGTTAGAACTGAGCCATCATAGTCATCAAGTAAGAGAGATAAATTAAATGTGAGCAGATTTATATGGTAAAGAGCAATCCTTCAAATATTATGGTTCCAGGCCATTTAAAGGCTCTGAAGGTTGAAACCCTTTTAACTGGGTCTAGAGTGAAAGTGGCAGCCAATAAAGCTGAGGTAATATCACTGTTGTGTGTCCCCCATGGCAGCTTCCAGTTAGATTTTCAAGACATTTGAATGGAAGACATTTCTTTGAGAGGTTTAATTCTCCTCCTGGCCTGGGAGGAGTCATCCTGTCAAATGAACATCCTCCAATCTACTCTGAAAACAGATATTCACGGTGAGAACCAATTTCTGTATTTCTGAATTACAGTTTGTACCAGCGGGGCTGGCCCTACCATTAGGCAGAGAGAGTTGGCTGCTTCAAGGGAAGTGGATAGAGCTCTGTGAGCCATGCCTCAGATGTGGTGTTACCAGTGTTGAAGGAAGCATCAACAGCTAGTTTGGTAGCCTTTGTTGCATGGAATGGGGGAGGCATCGTGTTGCCCTTGCCTCAGTAGCGATGGACAAATCTATCAATTTCAGTTTCTCATTTTTCTTATCTTGGTTCTCCACATTTCCACTTCAGTTTACTTTTTTTTTTACGCCCTCATGAAACTTCATCAGTATTAGATGCTAACTGTTGAGGGGCGACTTCAAGGGCCCCCTGGCTCTCCCTTCTGATGGCTCTTGATTTTTACTTGTACTCAGGCAGTATTCAAAGAGAGGACTCTGTTGTGCAAAGTAGGACATGTGGCTACATTATACTTATTGAGACAGTAAACCCGTTTCTGGGCTGTCCCACTTCAGACTGCAGGTAGACTCTCATAGGATGTAATGTCCCTTACTACAAAAATACAAATAAAAGATTCTGCACACAGAAAATCAGTGTTGTGGCCTTCCCTGAGGATTCTCATCAGGATGGCGAATGGGAGCAACTGGCCCTGGATCAGGGCCCTTCCCCTCAAGCCTCTGGGCCTTCCCATTGAGACTCTCCCTCTAGAAGTCTCACAGGCTCTCTTCCTTGGCTCAGGGGTAGAAGCTGGGCCCATCCAATGCCAAGGAGACCCCTGCTAGGCTATGAAGGAGGGGGAGTTCCTCAGCATGGACTGAGCTTTCAGGGAAGGCGCAAAGCCATGCATTTTCTCCAAGGCAACAGAGGTGCCCATCTTCAGGTCAGGAGCTCTTGGTGAGTCAGGCATTTCCCAGCCTCTGTTTAAAACCATGTGAGACAAACGGGGCTGATTGTTGAAACAACTTCCTGCTCCTGTGCAGCTTCAGATCAAAGCTCCTGGTCCTGGAATTCTGCCTCCTGCCTTTAGAGTCCCCTGGAGCTCTTCTCCTGAGGTGGTTTGATCATTGTCATTGCTGGTGCCTCATGGCACCTGAATTACTTTCTGCTCTTCTCATTCCAATTATACACTCTCAGTCCACTAGAATAAATCTTGGCTTTTTTGCTTACAAGAAAGTACACCTGTGGCTGTTCTTGGGTGGGAGCCTGGAGTACTAGCACATCATGGAAAATATTTAGTTGGAACTGATGGCTAGTTTCCTGGGTGGATGAATTTTTATTTTAATGGACAACTTTAGCCCCACTTACAGTCTGAAATAGTAGAGCCTAAACATAGGTTTACTTCTTCAGTGAGTGGTCAGTCAGGGGTGGCACATTAACATATACAAGTCAGTGATTTTTGTAGATTTAGATTTATTACGGCCATTGGCCCATATCAAAAACAATACATCAGAATTTATCCATAAACAATACAATTTAAACAGTTCCAAGTTAAAACACCCTTATAAAACCAATTTTACTTTAGTTAAGTAAACACTATACACAATAAGCTCCTCTATGTAAACCGCAATTCCGATCCATCAGATTTTGGGGGTATACGTCTTAGTTCTGGCACTTATTGATGGTTCTTAAGTTTAGCTAAGCTGTCAGAAACATACAGTGATCCATTTCTCCTCTTTTGAAATAAAACATTAATCAGGTATCTAGCGATTGCAAGGGATCTACTTGTATCTTCGAACAAGTCAGTGAGTAATAAGTATCCTTGTGAGGACTATAAGAACATAAGAAGAGCCTTCTGGATCTAGTCCATCATCCTGTTCCCACAGTGGCCAACTAGATGCCTCTGGGAAACCCACAAACAAGCACAAGAGCACTCTCCCCTCCGGAATACCAGTTGCTGGGAGCCACAGAAGCATCACTGCCTCCAACTGTGGAGACAAGACATAGCCACCATGGCCAGTAAGACCTCATTTCCCAGAAACATTTCCCAGAATCAGGATTCAGTTACAATCGAGATAATTCAACTTTATCAGTCAGATTTTGCACTTTTAGCTAATGGTGGTATTTGCACTGAGCAAAGGCTCTTTTGCCAATGGAATGAGGAGGGATGTGTTTTTGTTGATTCCCCCTACTCCTGCAGGCCCTTCACACAACCTTCTCCCCTGCTGTTCCAGAGGTGACCCCAACTCTTCCAAGCAGATTTTGGGGCAGGGTGAACTGCAGGAGAGATGGGGACTCAGCAAAAATGCTATTTGTTCTGTTGATGGTAGCCTGAGCAGGATCAGAGGGCCTTTTAGCAACTTAAGGGTCATCACTGGTTGGAATCATTGGGAGACACTTTTGTTTCACTGGAGGCTGTTGCATTTAGGCGAATGGGGCACTGCCCCACCAACTTGACCTCAGCCAGTCTCCAGGCCACCTGCCCTGCCTTCTTACTTACAAAGTCTAGGAGGTGGCACCAGCCAGTCAGCTTCCTCCACCTTAGTCTCAGTGTTGCCCCTTGTACAGCTCAGCAGGGAGAAGGATGGGGCAAAGCTAGAATTAGCTGGATGCCTGTAATTGGCTTGGTTGGTCTCCCTGCCCCCAACCCCACCTGCCCCAATGGGCATCGGTTGCCACTTCTTTTGCTGCCTTGCTGCTCTTAGCCTTTGAGATGGGCAAGTTAAAATGAAAGGAAGGGAAGAAAAGAAATGTCTAATACTGGCATTATAATGCAGCTCTAATACCATCCTCACTGCCCCATACATTTACCATTTAGTATATTTGTTTTATCATGTGATAAACTCACCAAATCATAAAAAAGAAAGTTGGACACATTAAAAAATGAAGAAGTTAAAGAAAATGTGTGGTGGCACAATTTGCGTGTTCTTAATACAGTTTTATTTGTGTGTGTTTTCATTGAGCGCATGCTTCTTCAAAACAGGACATTTCAACACTGAGGATAGGCCAATAAGTTTGTATCTTGCTCACTTCCCCTGCACCCAAAAAGAATGGGAGATCTGTCATCACTATTTTTAACAGACTTTGGCAGCATATCAGGATTCCACTTAAAGTTTGCCAGAAGTCACAGCAAAGTTGAATGACTGGGTGGTGGGTTTTTTCTCCTTCACCAACAACTATGAGACTCTTAATAGATTGTTCCTTGCAAAACATCTGAGCAAAACTAAACTTGAAACAAAGGAGAAGTAGTGAAGTTAACACTGGGGTGCAGTCTTTTTAATCTCCCTGCAATTCTAACTTCCTGTCTTCCCCACCCTACTTTTTCTCATGAAAATTCAAACCCACATTGGTATTGCGTGTCGAGGTCCCCAAGCCACCCCCCCAAATAACTCACAACGCACACTTAATTTTTGTTTAAGGTTTTTGGCATAATTTTGGCCACAACTTTATTTAAATACAAAACCGTGAGTGGTTGTTTAGGCATTGGTTAAGACTATCTGTCCCCCCGCCTGGGGACAGAACTGACTCCGGGCACCACCGAAAGACAGTGCGGGGGAAAGCAAGTCGGAGAGAAATGGAGCTGAGTCACAGACCCTCAATTCTCATCCGCATGCTCCCCGAAGGCTTGCCGGCCCCAGTCCCATTCCAGGGATTGGACGAAAAGATGGCAAGCCCCAGGATTCCTTTAACGGAATTCCCTTTCCGCAGCAACCATGGAGGGGCAGGCCCAGCCTATCCTAACCCCTCCTCCACCAATTTATAACCAATGCCTAACCGCAACCTTACAAGTTGTGATGATTTGCTACGCAGTAGGCAAAACCCAAATGGCCCAGCCAATCAGCCAGATGGACAAAATTCCTACCAGGCCCCTGCCCCAATGGCAGACGACCCCATGACAGGCATAGCAAGGTCAATGCAACAACCCCTTACTCAAGGGCAGGTGGGCGGGTGATCCGTTGCACGCAGCAAAGAGAAAGCTCCAGGCTGCATGCAGAGTATTTAAACATTTTACCCCTCCCACCAAAATTGCAACATAACTTTTACCCCAGCAACCCAGTGAACCAATCACTGCCCCAGGCCATCTTTAGAGACCCTGCCTGGTAACAGAGGGGTGGCTCAGCAGACCCCACCGCAACACGTGCTCTCCATGAAGGAGAACACGCTATGACATTAGAGACACACGCCTGCAAAACAGATGTTTTGTTTTGTTTTATTTATTTACAATTTGGGGCAATTGACATATTCTCAAGGCTTAGAAACCTCATGAAGCTTACTCAGAGCTGTACATAAGCCTGCTGCATCCTGATATATGATCTCAGCTTGACTGACACTTCTGTCCTTTAAATTGACATTTGGGCTAATTTAAACCATGACCTAGAGTCTTCTTGACCAGAGTTTGCTTCCACTGTACCCCACAGCTACAAGGGTGATCAGTTTCACCACACGCAGAGATTCATGCCAAAAACTGACCTAACACCATGCATGCAGGAGACTCCCAATTTTCACAGTTAACCTGCAATTCATGAATAGTGACTAGAATGATGGTGGCAGGAGAGGGATGAAGAGACAAAGCTTGCAAGATAATTCCTGCTGATCCTTACAATAGGGAGTTTATTCTACAAAAAGGTGGTTGATTTGAGACCCTCCAGATGTTGTGGAACTCCAGCTGCCATCAGCCCCAGCCAGCATGGCCAATAGCCAGGGATAATGGAAACTACATCCAACAGTATCAGCAGGGCTAGATTGGTCATCAGATTCAGCTGCCAACACCTGTAGTGCTGACAGCCTTCTGAACAAAATAAGTGGGCAGTAATGGCATACTTAAAACATTATGTATAATTTACTGTACTTTACTACTGCAGGGTGTTTAACACTAACTTGTAAAAGGAGTTTGTTTGTTTTAATAAAGTGCTGTCACAGTCTTACTGTGCAAATATTATGCAAGTGTGGGTATCAGATAGGGTTGCCATATTTGGAAGAGCAAATCTTCCCCCCCTCTTCGACTTCTACTTTTAACTACAGATTGGACTTTTAACCCAACAAATGGCAACCCTAGTGTATGTGTCTGAATTTGTGTGTGTCTATGCACTCATATAAGAGAGGAGGAGGAGGGGAGGGGTGGGGTGTAGAGGAAAGAGTAGAATGAGAGGATAGATGAAGATTAAAATGAAAAGAAAAGGAAGGGAAATGGTGTAGGGGAGAGGGAAGGGGAAGATTAAATTATTGAATGAGGGTAAAGAGTGCAAGTGTGAGAGTAGGAGTAAGGGTTTGGAGGTAAAAGTCAGAGTTCAAGACTGAGAATCAAGTTAAAAATGGCAGGTTAAGTTAAAAAATCAAAATGTAAACATCCCCCCTCTTTCTTTGAGGATAAAAATGCAAAATCAAAATGGAGATTCAAATTAAGGTTTGAAGGAATAAACCAAAAATTGAAAGTTGAAAGGTTAATTTTTTGGAGGTAGTTTTTAACAAGCTAGTGTGAGGTTCTCTCCAGTTCTGGGTCCTGGTATACTCAGCTGAAAGTTAACGCAGCTCTCTCCCGCCTCCTCAAATTGGCAGAGAGGGTGAGAGGGAAAGGGGGGGGGCGAGTATTTAGCTAAAATGAAATGATAACAAAACAAAAATAAAAAGGGGAGTAGTAATGATCTTTAAAAATTAGAGGGGGGGGAATCCCTTTTTAAAAAGAGAAAAAGGGAGGCAAGATGGCAGTTGCCATGGCCTTGCAGAGCTGTGAGGGACCACCAACACCAGCTGCATGGTTTGGCTGGTCCCCACGCCATCGACACCAGTGCTGCAACTGCCACGGCCACAACAAACAGGGAAGAGCCCAATGCGAGAACCGAAGAGGCTGCTTGGACCACCCCCTTCCCCAACAATCTCAGCCCCAGATCACACCAGCATGTAACTATAGTGTAACTATGAGCTCTGTGAGGAACTTCTTCCTTTTGTCTTCTACCACTCAACTTCAGCTTTCTACCTGGCTCATCATCTTCTTTGCTGTTGGGGCCGTAGGGAAGATCAGGGATTTCTAAAAGCTAGCCAGGAACCCAGGCAGCTGGTGTGGAGACTTCCAGCCTTGGGATAGGAATGTCCTGGTCCAACGTTTCTTCAGAGTTATTAGTGGTGTGGAAATCTGCTAGAGGGCCCCACCTGCTTTGGTCCTCGTGTGATTTTGAGATCTGGGCAGGGATCAACCCTGACAGTCTCAAGGACTGTAGCTACTATTCCCAGAATTCCCTTTGAGGGACAGTTGATTAATAAACCACTCAAGAAATTGTGAGGAGGATTGGGTTGTGTGTCTCCTAACAACTCTCAGCACCCTTAACAAACTGAAGCTCCCAGTACACTTTGGAGAAAGCCATGACTGTTTAAAGTAGTGTCATAGTGCTTTAATTGTATGGTGTGGCTGTGGCCTAATTTAGGTCCATTAATTTCAGTGAGCTTACTCTAAGCAGGATTTAGCTGAATGCAACCCATAGTGTGTTCTGGAACACTGGACTCATGGAGATGTCACACTCCCAATCTTTTAACCTTGCTGGCACAACTCAGTTGAGCAGATTGTTGAAAGCAGGCAGGAAGGCAAAATTAAGCATGGTGCATAGTGTGTGCGATGATAACAACCCTGGGATATCAAGCCTAAGAGAACACATCTAAATCTTTGGAGCCTCAGCATTCAAATTTTGTGAGCCAACAGATGGACCCTTGTGCAATATGGGAAAATGACATGTGTATATATAATTATATTGAAATAATCAGACTCAAACATCCTCAATGTTAAACAATAAATTCTCAGCAAGAGGTCAGGGTGTGGGGGGGGGGGTCTGGCTGAGCTTTTTATAGACCAAACAGCTGCCCCCAAGAGCCAATGAGATATTAAAATATTTGGACATGATTCAGATCCATCTCTCTCTTTGTGGCCCACAGCATGGAACGAAACCAAGAAATGGCTGTTTACTGTTGAATCTCTGCTGTTGCATAAACAAAGCAGCCAAAATATTGCTTCCCTTAGGATTTCATGTTTAAGTCAGCATAGTGGATAGATCTCAGTGATGACAACAAAACAATTTTTTCATCTGAATCAGTGGAAATTGCTGCAACCGGGTTATATTTGGAACAACACAAGCACATGATGAAAGGTGTAAATCTTTTGAAAACTTTTTAAAATATGCTGGGGAATGTTGGGTTATAGCCTGGAGTCCTGGATGATGGTTGGGAACTGATGGCTCTCCAGATGGTGTTGTGCTCTGAGCCCCCTTCAGCCCCTGCCAGGGATGTTGAGAGTCATAGTCTAATAACATCTGAGGAGTCACAGGTTCCCCTTCCCTGCTCTAGATGAATATTACTCTTCCAAAATGAAGACTTTGAGGCAAAATAACAACAGTAACCTCATCATAACTGAACTATGTTCCTTCCCGCATATCAGGAAGTAATAGCTTCTAAATTAAAGCTCCTAAATTTGGAGTTGTGGCAGGCTCTACCATAAAGCACAGTGAGGCAACTGCCTCAAGTGGCAGATGCTGGAAAGCAGCTGCAATGGTCCTCTGGCTGTCACTCCTAAACCTCCCAGTTATTTCCCTCTGTTGGATGACAGCCTGTGTATGGTATGTACTCTTGCCTACTCCCTACCCCCAAAAAACCTACCTTAATGTAGTAGGTACTGTTCTGTTACCAGTATTGGAGTAAGATTCAGTGCCAGTCAGTTTCTATACATGGATGGCATGTGTTCCATCTAATCTTTCACCTTTGGGTTGGCTCTGTTTGAGTCAATAGTGAAGCAATAAGGCACCATTCTCCATTCTGCCCTATAGTCACTACTTGCAGCGCTGTTTCTGTTCCACTGCAGTTCATCTTCTGCCAAAAACTACAATATTTTTTTCACTGTTCACTGTGGCAAAATTATAAAACTTTTGTAAATTAATTAACATAACTAATTTATGTACTGTAAATTACATTCAGGGCCACCGAGAAAGAGTTCAGGCCCCAGGGTGGGGAATAATTCCGGGGCCCCCACCAAGGGTAGAACAGCTAGAAATCTTTACATGGGATATAAAATACATGTGTGCTGTCATTTGTATGTTGATAATAAATATGATAATATTCATCCCTATAGAGAATATTAAGATCCTAATGACTAATATAAATAATATAAGCACCCACATGATTATTGCTGAACTAGCCATACATTTTAAACATTAAATTTGCATGTGTAACTTAACACAATATATATCACACAACAACTTTGTTGTGTTTGCAGGGTGTTCAGTTATGAAAACATACAAATGTGATCGTGTGTAATTAAGATGAGACTGCATTCTACTGGCTAGGCGCAGAAGCAAATGTACATGTAGAGTCGGAAATACTTGGAAATGCTGAATTCATGGCATGCCATATTTCAGAACTGTGCATGCATTGAACATGAAACATATATTTCATTAAGAATTATATAAAACATATGCAAGATAGCCAGGGGCCCTTCTAGACCACTGGGCCATTTTAATTTGTACTGGCTTCCCCCCACCCTTGTCGACATTGATTAAATTGTCATTACATTATTCCACCCCATTCATTTCAATGCAAAGGAGGTGCAATGCAAAAGGGTGCCGCACATCATTTGTGGACTGCACACAACAGTAACGATGAATACCTATTGTATTCACTAGACTAAGTTCTCTTCCAGAGATGGGACAAATAAGTGAACACTGGCAATTTCAGCTGCCATTTCCATTCTCTTCTCCAATATGCTCCAACATTCCTATCAGTCAGTGATTCCCCACTGTCAAGCACAGCTCTTTGAAGAGGAGCATCACCTTCCAGTGGGCCTCTGACCACTAAGGCAGAATTTCTGATACGTTACTGGAAACCCACCACTAAGGAAGATGGGAACTTCTCCAAGTCTCAGGCTGGATTCCTCTGACTCATTGAAATCTGATTAGGACCCATATCAAATTAGTCTTGCTCATGCTCTAGAATTTCCCAGTCGGACTTGCAGTTCAAACATTACTCACAGTCAGGCCACAGGGCTGACCTTAATTTCACAGGAGTTGGTCAACTCTGCATAAGAGAACAGCCTTTTCATTCCCCTTTGGATTCACAAAGCAGCCAGATGTCAAGGCCAGATTATACCATGAAAAGAATTAAGTGACAAATGTTTTCCAGAAATCTGCTACTCCAGGCTGCAGATTAGTGCATAGGTGTAAGCGTGCTCAAATGTCCATATACAAATAGCACATCATAAAAAACACGTTTGCCTGACGTGCTAGCTGTCAATGTACAAGCAGCTATTTGCTGTTTTTTATGAAGGGACATCCAAATCTCATGTGCAGCCTGAAATGGTACAGTCCAGGGAAACCTTTACCACTTTGTTCTGCCAGCTTTGGCAGAATACCAAAGAGTACATATGATTTCATGCACAGAATTCAGCTGAAGTATTTCAAGGAGTGATGGATTTGGGCCCTATCTTTTGGGAATGTTTTGGGAAGGAGGGGAGTTATAATTTCAAAAGTATTCTCCTGTTACTGTAACAATAGCTTTGACTCTGAATTGACATTATTTCACAGAATCATAGAATTGTAGATTTGGAAGGGGCCACATGAGGGTCATCTAGTCCAACTCCCTGCAATCTTTTTGCCCAACATGGAGCTCAACCTCACAATCCTGAGATTAAGAGTCTCACACTCTACCAACTGAGCTATCCTATTTCTCCTAATGTACACCACAATTTTGCCTAAGTGAAGCTAACATGTAGCCAAATCTGATCCGTTAAGCAGCATTGTGTTATCATTCTCATCCAGGTGTCAGTTGCTAAGTTTGCCCATAGTGATGTCAGCATGTAGCCAAATGTGATTGGTTATGCAATTCTCTAACTGGGCATCTAACAAAGCCCATATGTTGCTCCCAGGGTGGACGGAGCCTTTAACTGGTATATAAACATTGGCACACAGTATTTTAAACCCATTTTCAGTGGACAGCTGGACCACTTGGAACTCTGGGGAGAGAGATACTATTTCCTCTGCCCTCACATTTAGACTTGTCAAGACACACAGAGTCAATCAACCCCTTCTTCTTCCCTTGCTATTAACTCTAATAGCTGGCTGGGAGTAGATAGCATATCCTTGCATCGTCATCTCTTCCACCCGAGTCTCCTGCAGGCAAATTACATGAAACTGCTTAAGATATTTTACAAAGCCACTATCCATCACTTTGTATGAGTCATAAACCCTTTGCTTTTCTTATTGTCCCATCGTGGGGATATTACAATCTTTCTGGTGCCTGCTACGTCAATACAGGGAGCTCTCTGGCGGTCTCCCCATAGTGCCAGCATCACTAGGCCTGTCCATGTCACCAGCTTTACATCTTGAGAATACCAAGGTTTTAGCTGTGAATCTATTATGGCACCAGGCAAGTGTCAGTTCCCCTTCCCTAGATGAAAACCTCCTGGGCTCTGTGGGTTTCTTAGGTTGTGTCTGAGTGTTATTTGAGAAGGTGACAAACGTTGGAATCTCAGCTCTCCATTGCCCCCTCCCTCTGCTGCTTTGACCTCCATTTCTGGGCCTGGGTCTCGGGCCTCAACTTCAATATTGGGGGCCTTCGGTTTCTCTGTCTGTTCCCAAGCTCTGTTTGATGCCCTTTCAGCTCAGAAAGAAGATCTCTGTTTGCCAACAAATATATTAGGAACCAGAACCTTGAGACTCAAAATCATGAAAAATCAACTCAGTGCTGCCTCACTGCTTGTATACAGTAAAGGTAAAGGTAAAAGGACCCCTGACCATTAGGTCTAGTCGTGGCCGACTCTGAGGTTGTGGCACTCATCTCGCTTTATTGGCCGAAGGAGCCGGCGTACAGCTTCTGGGTCATGTGGCCAGCATGACTAAGCCGCTTCTGGCAAACCAGAGCAGCGCATGGAAACACTATTTACCTTCCCGCCGGAGAGGTACCTATTTATCTACTTGCACTTTGACGTGCTTTCGAACTGCTAGGTTGGCAGGAGCAGGGACCGAGCAACGGGAGCTCATGCCGTCGTGGGGATTCGAACCATCGACCTTCTGATCGGCAAGTCCTACGCTCTGTGGTTTAACCCACAGTGCCACCCGTGTCTCCTTGTATACAGTACATCCACCCAATTACAGCAGAGGTCATTATATAATTTCAGATGTGTCCCCAGAATATCTTGAATGTCCTGGATTATTTCAGTCTCAGACCTCAGTTCTCCTCTAGAGTTTTGAGCTGACCAATTGTGTATGATGACTTTTGGCCTCAAATTCTGGGCAGCATCATGGTGTTCTGGGTGGGCCCCCTTGAGATCTGAGTCCTTGGGAGTAGTTTCTATACCAACCTGTGAACATTGAGTTGGGGCCCATTCCCCCTCTGTCACTGGCAGCATCTCTCCATGATGGAAGGAGGGGCTGACTGACTGCCAGGGGAAGAGCGCTGTCAAGTTTGGCACATCATGGCACTGGGACGTGCCAACTGAGCTCCTCTGACTTAGCCTCACCTCCAATTCACTGCTAGGCTCCAATAATTCATCTACTAACAACAGCCTAGGATCAGAGGGGGTCAAATCCAAGGTATTAAATGAGTCCAAGATATTAAATGTGTTATCCAGGGCCAGAGATGCTGATTTGGACCCCAGACTCAAGACATCGATACACGCATGTGGCCCAGCACCATAGAGGCGACCTGGTGCTTTATGAGAGAGGTTGGGGGTGGGGAGTAGGGCTGGATAAAACTGCCCATCACTTCTGATTTGTGATGCTATTCGCAGAAAATGAGCAAGCTCTCAAGGGTGCAAACAGAAGGCGCTTCCTTCTTCACTCCTCAGACTATTCTCATCTGTGCTTTTGGGAAGCCAGGAATGAGGAGCAGGGGGAAAGGAGGTTCTGGCAATGTTAGTGCAAGCTCCCTCCATCCTGTTGCTCCCACAGCCTCTGCCTCACCTGCCTTTCTGGCTGCAAAAGTTGCCAGAGTTTCTCCACCCCAACAAGCAGTTTACAGATGTTTTAGAGCCGGAACATGTAGGTCCCTGTCCTTTCCACCACCCCAGCTGCTGAGGTCTCTGTGCCATCCCAATGCTTACAACATTTATCTTACATTGCCCATTCATGGCAAGGTGGAGGAGGCCAGGAGACAGCCTAAGTGCTGCAGATCTGAAGAGCTGAGTGGGGCAGTTTGCATCCCCATATCCTCTCGAGATCTACACCCCAAGAGAAGATGGAAGCTGCCACAACAACCTGCCCAGGGTGCCACAAACGTTTAAATGCAGTCTTGATAGCTATTATGTTGGCTATGACTGGTTGGCTATGACGTCATATACCCAAACTATATTGTAGCAACATGTTATCTTTCTGTTTACTGCTTGCACCCTAATTGGCCAGTATCAGCCAAGCAAATAATCCTGGAAGGTGAAAACACTATGTGAGGAATAAAAATTGTAGCAGATCGGAAAACAACGGCAACAAACAACCCTGCATTAGTTGCCTAAAAAGTAAAATAGGAGAACATTTGGTACAGCTCAGTTCTGCATCTGTTTTAACCCAAAGGTGTATTCTTTGCTGAAAGATGCACAGTGTTCAAAATGCTTTTCAACCTCTGCAAAGGCACAATAAAAAAGAATGGGGTTGTATCCCATGCTGATCCTACTCCGAGTAGGCCAACTGAAATTAATTGACATGGCTGGTTTATGTTCATTAATTTTAATGGGTCTACTCTAAGTAGACTGTGGCACTGTGCATGCATACATTCCCATTCATTTGCTGGCTATATGCTGGTTGAACTCTAAGTTATTAAGGGTGGAAGAAGCTGCTTGCTCATTCTTGCATTGTGAGCACTCTGAACAAACATTTCTCACTGAAGTTATTTTGCTTCTAACTATGACTCGTCTGTGCCTGGCTTTAGCTGCAGAAATCGGAAGTCTGTTTTGGCTTTGAGCCACTTTGCTCTTCCCGTTTTAATTACTTTGGTGGGAGAAAAGCTCGCAATTCAATCACAGCTGAAATTACAAACTGCCTTGGAGCGCTAAGAGCAGAGTCTGGCAGAGACAATGGCAATGTGGAAAGAGGGGGGCATAGCTCAGTGGGATGCAGCATGCTTTGCACAGAGAAGGTCCTATGTTTGATCCCTGTGATTTCCACCTCAAAGGCTTCCAGGCAGCAGAGCTTGAAAAGATTTCTGCTTCCTATCTTGGAATGGATGACTAGTACAAAGTAAACAAAATATACAAGGTGGACAGATATGCAGCTCAACACAGATGAGCTAGTGGGGAAAGAAACAGATCGAGGGGGCTGTTGGTGGTGGTACCTTCCCCCCTGCCAGGGTGCGGGGTTTTGACAGGTGCCCAGCCATGCCTACCTCTGACGCCAGCCCTGAGCACTTTCTTTTTCAGCCTGAGGGCAGCTTTCCCTCATGGGGAACCTTCTGGGAGCCCCATGTCAGTGGTCAGCCGGGCTAGAGCAATGGCAGGCAGATCAGTGGATGTGACTCTCACTTTTCTACAGTGGGCTACGTTCCATGCAAAAAGGCACAGGTTTCAGCACACACCTTCTTCCATCTTCCATTCAGGCAAGCATGAGGCATTATCACAGTTGAGGAATACAACTGGGCCCCCAATAATTAATTTTGTGCCCTCCAAATTTGCCGTTTTTAGGGGGGGGCAGTTTGTTTTAATAGACTGCTCCTATGGGTCCTCTGCTGTAATGCTATTATGCCAAAAGCTGTGTGTGAAAGAGTGCCAGCCAACCAAACCCCAAATGACATTTTCTTTTTTTAAAAAAAGGTCATACCCATTATTACTATTTGGCCATACCCACTTTTATACTTGCCCCATGCCCAGTTTGACGTGCAAACCCTGGCAGGTTGACCAGGAATTAATGTAGCCCTTTGCCTGAAAAGGGTTAGCCACACCTGCTTTAAACCACCTCTTTCAGATAAAGGGTTCTCTGTGTGGCCATCCTAAATGGCAGACAAATGAATGGGAGATGCTTTGGGCACCCCCTATACTGAGTTCACTCCCTTGACCCTGTAGTGTACCACTTGAGGACATAATTATGCCATGTGCTTTCCTGCCCCCACCAATGGCAGCCAGAGATGAGGAAACCCATGATGTGTTGAGTGCAGGCATTGTGAGAGCTGGGGAAGAAGGCATGAAGCTGGGATGTCCTATGCCTGCTTCACTCCCTCCTGGAAAGAGATGAGTTTTGCCACAGTTATACATGCTCTGGCACCATCGCTTTTGTTTTTTCCAGGTGCATGAGAAAAAAGGAAACTGCCTTATCAGTTTCAGATTATGGGTCCATCTATCTCAGTATTGTGTACACTGACTGAAACCAGCTCTCTAGGATTTCAAACAGGGGACTCTGCCACCCCTGCAACTGAGCTATTGCGTGTCCTCTTCTTTGGAGCCTTTGATGGGCTGTTTATGATAGTCAATTTGTTTAAATTATCTGATTTTAATAGCTTTTTTATTTGCATTAGTTGTCTTTTTCAGCTGCCAGGTTACTGAATATGTATGTGACTTCCACTGTTTGTTTATTAGTGCATTTATATTTCATTCTAGTTTTAATCATTTTATTGTAAGCCACCTTAAGGCTGTTTTTATTTATTTCTGTGGATAGTTCTATCCCACAAGGCATGAGAGGGAAGGCAAGAAGTAATTGAAGAAATGAGTAGCTAAGTAAATAATGCATGGACCTGCCTTATAAAACGTTGACTGATCCAGAATACATCAGCTAGGTTAAACACTCAGACTCACCAGAAATTTATTTGGGGAAGACAAGAACTGTAGCTCAGTGGAAAAGAATTTGCTTTCCATGCAGAAGTTCTCAGGTTCAGTCCCCGGGCCTCTGCAGGTAGCCCAGAAATGTCCTCTGTCTGCACCCTTGGGAGCAGGTGCCAATCAGCTGCCTGGTTTGCATGTCACAGTAAGTCAAAACATGTTTTAGTGTGGATGTGCAAGTGTGCGGCCTCCTAGGAAGGAGATCACAGCTGCTTCACTGCTCCTTAGCTATTCTGCTACTGCACCATGCTGAGCTAAGCCATAGCTGGATTTGAACATCGTATGAGCATTGGCTCATGGTTTACCTTTTTCCAGACTTAACCACCAGCTGTAACCAAGATTTGTGGATTTAGTCTCTGTGAAATGTGTGTGCCTAGTACCAGCAATGTCATACCCTCCAACATTTCTCCTTCCTCCTGCTTCATCTGAGTAATGTTGGAGGCTATGCTGCCCCTTTGCCATATGTGTTTCTGCCCCCCCCCCAGTTCTTAATCCCCCCAGCTGACCTTCATTGTCCCCCACTTGTTTGGTGTCCCTCAGCCACCACACAGAACATTTCCTACCAGAGGAAGGGTGAGTGCCAGCACCACATCAACGGGTTGCAGCACACTCATTACCTGAACAGGTACTTCTGGGAGTGGGACGCCTTCCACCCACCCACTCATCCCTTCACAATATGGGATTATGTGATGAGTGGATGGGTATCTGTGTCTGAGTGTGTGTCCGTCTCTCTTCTGCCCGGCAGCTGCCCCTGTGTTTCTGTGTTTGTGTTTCTGCTGCCTCACCCTATGCATTCTCACTCCCCCTCTTGACCCACCATTTTTGTTCCCCACCCTGCAGAGCATTTTAGTGAGAGAGTTATGCATGTGCTTCAGTCTCCCGCAGTGAAATAAACAGGACTTAGAAGCTAAGCTTTAGCCATCTTGATCTCCAGAGAGGTAATTGAATAATGTGGTGCTGGTGGGCACAATCAAAAACTTTATCCCCTGCCATCACTTTTTTTCTTAACTAGTTGATAATCAGGAATTGTGCTTCTATTATTTCCAGTAATGGTTCATATATTTTCAATTCCAGGTTCTTTCTTTCCCGAGAGCAAGCCCTCAGAGACAATTTTTAAAATCGCATTTTGGCTGGGATACCTGAACAGCTGCATCAACCCCATCATCTACCCTTGTTCAAGTCAAGAGTTTAAAAAGGCATTCCAGAATGTTCTAAGGGCCCAGTGCCTCCCACCACGGAGGTACTCAGCCAACAAATATTCCCTTAGCTTCAACCTCAATCATGCTAGCAACCACGTTGCCGAAGCTCCAAAAGACGTTGTCCGCATCCCTGTCGGCTCCGGAGAAACCTTCTATAAGATTTCCAAATCGGACGGTGTCTGCGAGTGGAAGCTCTTCTCGGCCATGCAGAGTGTGTCCACCAAGAGCACAGCCTCCAGGGATAAGGCCAGCTGTGTGACAGCCAAAGTCAAGAGCAAAGGTTTCCTGCAGGTGTGCTGCTGTGCAAGAACATCAGGGAAAAGCATGGCAAAGGACCAGAAAGTGCCCACCATTAAAATACACACTGTCTCTGTCAGCGATAACGGAGAGGATATTTAAAGGCATCCATCATTCCGGTGGGACCAGAAGAGGTTTACATGCAGTACTTCAATATGGGCAACTAAGGAGGAGGCTGCTTTTAATGGGGTAATACAGAATGCCAGCAAGGGAATGATGCTAACGTAGAACAAAGCATGTGAGCTTCGACTGAATCCAAGTTATTGAGGGAATCTCAGGCAAGGTGATTTGAATCCTATTGAAATATGTGGGGTTCCGAAATGGGACCACTTGAGGCTGGACTTCTTCAAGCGATTCTGCTATTATTTCCTTGCTATTTTCAAAGCTCTGAGGTTCAGTTAGTTTTATTTACAATTGTTTAGCCATTGCGCTCTTAACTTTGGGGGTGGGGTGGAGGAAAGTGTTGTGGCGTGTCCGACAATAGAAATCTATGAATATCTGTTATTGGTTTCAACAGAGGGACTTCTTTCTGGCTCTCAGCTTTTATGTCGTGGAGTAACTTCATACACTTAAAGGGGGAATTTGACAAGGCAGAACCATGAGTTAATTGGAGAAATGTGATGGTCTTTTAACTTGACTCCTTTCTTTTTGTTGATTCCAGTCCTGTGAAACTTTGAACCATATAGCTAAAAAGACACCAAAAGGGTAAGGGTGGGGGACTTCAGTCCCAGGAGCAGAATGCAACCCCCTAGGCCTCTCCAACCAGCCTTTGGGGCTCTTCCTGTGGTACATCTCTTCACCCAGGCCTCTAGTTGGCCCTGCTCCATACATCCCTTAATTGTTTTTGCCAGGCTGGAATATGTCATTGAACTGTGATAATGCCTTTTGCTTGCCTGGATGGAGAGGTCTGGGGACAGGGGACCTCTGGCTGGAATATAGTCTACTGCACAAAGACAAGGCACAGCCATTGTTCCTCCACTTTTGCCTCTGGCCCTGCCCACTACTGGCATGTGGCCACTGGAAGGTTGTCCATGGAGAAATGCAGCCCTCGAGGATGCAGGGGGGGGGGAGCTTTCCCACCTTTGCAATAGGGAGTACACAGCTCAGACCTGGCCCTGATTCTGCACTTGGCAACAACTGTTCAGAAGCTTGTGTACCCTTCATATGGATGGCAGACTTGCTGAGAACGGCTCCTTCATCCCATGTGGTCAAAATGTGGGAGGGGAAACACTACAATCACATAGGCAAGGAAATCATATGGGGGTCTATGATAACAAACCAGTGTGCTCCCTCCTTCTGGGGTGCTAATCAAGTGGAGTAATCCATATGATTAGTTCTGGGCATGTAGTTATAATATTCACTCATGGGACATCATCAAAGAGAAGCAGCTCCCACAATTTGTGGTGCAGATGTGAAGTGGGTCTTATTCCCTCTCCCTCTCATAGGGACCATTTCCTTATTCCGAAAACATTTGCAAAAATCTCTGTGTATCATTTTGAAGCTTTACCTTCTCTGTGTTCCTCTTCGTTGCCTGCCTTGTAGTACATTCATTTTTGAAGTGCAGCATGTAATGGTGGAAAATATTTTGTAGCAAAAGAATGTACCTTTGTCATAATAATGATGCCAAGAAACTGCCCTCTGGGTTTGTGGGGCAATTCCCAGCCCCTTCATCAACACCAGTTGCCTTTCCTTTGTACTTGTTTGACTCCATCCCATCCCAGGGGCCACACCTGTTCCTTCAATAGCCTACCTCTACAGACTTCAGGTCATTCAATCCCTTTTTTGCTTCCTTTTGGGATTTCCAACCATTATTGTTGTCATACCCACTCACTTAGGGTACACGTGCAATGTGAAATAATTGGAAACTGTGGAGATTCATATTGCAAGGTTGCACTGCAACACTGGTCCATGAGGGCAAATGGGGCACTGCCCTCAGCCAGCCCCTACCTGCCTGACTTCTTACATATCAACCACCCCAAGGGGAGGCCTGTGCTGTTAGCTCCCTCCTCTTTGGTCCCTGCAGAAGTCAGCAGGGAGGAATCATAGAATCATAGAGTTGGAAGAGACCACAAGGGCCATCGAGTCCAACCCCCTGCCAAGCAGGAAACACCATCAGAGCACTCCTGACATATGGTTGTCAAGCCTCTGCTTAAAGACCTCCAAAGAAGGAGACTCCACCACACTCCTTGGCAGCAAATTCCACTGTTCTTCCTAATGTTTAGGTGGAATCTTCTTTCTTGTAGTTTGGATCCATTGCTCCGTGTCCGCTTCTCTGGAACAGCAGAAAACAACCTTCCTCCCTCCTCTATGTGACATCCTTTTATATATTTGAACATGGCTATCATATCACCCCTTAACCTCCTCTTCTCCAGGCTAAACATGCCCAGCTCCCTTAGCCGTTCCTCATAAGGCATCGTTTCCAGGCCTTTGACCATTTTGGTTGCCCTCCTCTGGACACGTTCCAGTTTGTCAGTGTCCTTCTTGAACTGTGGTGCCCAGAACTGGACACAGTACTCCAGGTGAGGTCTGACCAGAGCAGAATACAGTGGCACTATTACTTCCCTTGATCTAGATGCTATACTCCTATTGATGCAGCCCAGAATTGCATTGGCTTTTTTTTAGCTGCCGTGTCACACTGTTGGCTCATGTCAAGTTTGTGGTCAACCAAGACTCCTAGATCCTTTTCACATGTACTGCTCTCAAGCCAGGTGTCACCCATCTTGTATTTGTGCCTCTCATTTTTTTCCCCAAGTGCAATACTTTACATTTCTCCCTGTTAAAATTCATCTTGTTTGTTTTGGCCCAGTTCTCTAATCTGTCAAGGTCGTTTTGAAGTGTGATCCTTTCCTCTGGGGTGTTAGCCACCCCTCCCAGTTTGGTGTCATCTGCAAATTTGATCAGGATGCCCTTGAGTCCATCATCCAAGTCGTTGATAAAGATGTTGAATAAGACCGGGCCCAAGATGGAGACAAAACCAGAATTAGTTGGCTCTGCCTTTCATTGTTCTGGCTCCGTGTACCATTGGCCTCCCTGCCTTCCACCCTACCAGTCCAAATGGGCACTAGCCAGCACTGCACTGCAAGGCAGCCTTTTGTAATTATCACTTGCAGAATTGTGGAGCAGCAGGATTTACTAAGGCACCAATGAAAGAGAGGTTCAGATCCATGTGATGTGGGTTATTCATGATGGGGATACTTGTTGAACCATTGATAAGACTAGGGTTTAAGGCAACCTTTGCTACAAGTCAACATTAAAGATTCAGTCTGTTTAAATCATGTGCTGGAGATTGGAGAACATGGTTATTTGGAGCCATCTCAAGGAAACAGAAGTGAAAGTGCATGAAACAGTGATTCAGTAAGATTCAGAGTTTGTCCACATTTCTGCTTGTCCTGTGCCTAGAAAGCATGAGTCCAAGACGTCTTCCACTTGTCTCATCTTTCTAGGCATGGGTCTGAGAAGTTTTCTGTTTGTCTCACTGCAGTCCCTGCGAAAACCCGCTCTTTACTGCTGAATTGAAGCAAACTTCAATCTACAGTAAATTTCATTGACATTCAGGTTGGATGGTGTCACAAAGACGCCTCTATCCCCCCATTCATCTTTACAACAGGGTCAATTTAATTTATGTTTTCCTGCAAAAAATTCTGTTCAAAATTGTTTCTTAGATCCTTTCTTGGTCCTGGATTTCATAGAGCACCCCAGGGAAAGGGAATTGAATTTAAACAAGTTCAGGTATGCTGTATAACTGTGCCCATGGAGATTTATTTCAATTGACTTTGGCTAAATTAAATTGCTTTCTGTGGGATTACCAAAATATAAATCAATCCCCTGCAACAAGGATGAAGCAATTTATCTTTCAACTGTTGACGTCAATAAGAGCATTTTACATTAATATATTAAAAAATAAAAAGCAAAACCATGTTCCCTCATTAAACCAGATTACCTGAATTTGGATGATCAGAAACCTAAACAAACAGGAATGAATAGCAGTTGCACAATACGTAATTCTGAATAACTTTGAATTTGTCCATTGAGCTCTGTATAAGCAAGAGATTCCTACACTAGGGCCGGCATTGGGAAATGTGCCCCATGCTCATTGGAACTGTGTGTGGAACATTTCTTAAACACTGAGGTTAATGGGGACTCCTTGGCTGCTAGTGGGCTCTAAGCTGATGCACATATGCATGATTTATTGCTTGATGACCAAGTGGGTGAAGGGGCCATTTCAGATCAAATGTCACACCAGAACTTCTAAACCATTTAAAATGCATTGGAAAGGATCCAGATTCAAGCACTAGACATGTGTCTACTCACATGTAGAGAGCTTGCATGTAGCAACAGAAATGGGGCCATACTTACAGCCCCACCCCTGATACTGCATTCCCATCACATGTGTTGATATTAGCCCTATTAAAATCAGTAGGACAAGTTGCTCATCATGATGGCCTTAAGTCCAGTTGATTCTGATAGAACTAAAGCAAGGCTAACTTAATATAGATTTAAGTCAATACTTTTAAGTGAAGTCATCTCACATTTTCAGCTGCCAGTCATCATGTTAGACAAATAAAACAGTGAAAAGGCATGTCTGCATTATCTAGGGCTACCATACATCTGGAATTTCCTGGACATAGCCAGGATTTGTCTGTCAAAAATGGCGTCCGGGTGGAATTTTTGAAAAGCAGCAAAAATGTTCAGGGAAACCCAGGCATATGGCAGCCCATATCAGAAGTGTAGATTTTTTGGCAATTTTCCTTAAAAAATAGGTTTAAAAAATCATTTATTTATTTACTGAGATTTTGCAAAAAAAGGGGGGGGGGAATAAAAGCTGAACAACTTTTGTATCTGGACATTCACTTTTTGAAAAATGGCAACCGTAGCACAACTTCAGTCTATATATTGGACCAGGAATATTATGTTTATTTTTTAAAAAAAAATCTACAGATTTCGGGTTGCCAAAGTTTGTTTTCTCTCTGGAGAGCCTAACATGAAAAGCTTTTCAACCTCTCTTCATACCATGCCAGTTCATTCAAAGATTCACAAGACCAAACATATTTATAAGAGCTTTTCCCATTTTGTTAGGGATATCAAGAGGCCTGACAGTATGGCTGCCATTTTCCTCCCTATTGCTATAGCCTCATAGGGATTATATAGAATGCGTTTTAGACATTGAAGGACCAAAAGCAGTTCACGGCAAATGTGAGGTTTGCAATGTAGCAACTGACCTTTAAGGAAGCTTGAAAGTAATTTGATTTGGGTGTTTTTCCTTAGTTTCAGCCTGTCAGGAGATTTCTGCACCCTCTGTAGAAAAGAGGTAAAGTACACATTTGGAATTAATAGTTCTCAGCTCTGCACACGCTATCTATAGAAATAATCTGGCAATTAACTTTGTAATGTAGGCAGAAAATGCATCTATAGCATCAGAAACAAAATGGGATTCAGTGCAGTAAGCGAACTCTAAGAATTGAATTGAACTCCATGCTAATCCTTAAATCTTCACAATTTTCCAGTATCCAATAGATAGGAAGCTGCTTTTTCTATTCATCCAGCTAGCTTATTATTGTTCTGCAATGACTGCTAGTGGCTTTTGAGGATTTCAGGCAGAGATCTTTCCCAACCCCACCAGGAAGTGCTGGGGCTTAAACCTGGGACTACCTGCATGCAACGCAGATCCTTGCCACTGAGCTACAGTGCTACTTATTTTAAGTTACAGGGAGGCAGATTTTGGTTGAGCATTAGGAGACATGTCTTGATGGTATGGGCAATATGACAGAGGGATGGTGTGCTCTCCTTTGCTGGAGGTCTCTAAGCAGAAGCTGAGCAGCCATCTGTGAGGGGAGCTCTAGCTCTGGATTTCCAGTACAGTGGTACCTCGGGTTAAGTACTTAATTCATTCAAGAGGCCCGGTCTTAACCTGAAACTGTTCTTAACCGGAAGAACCACTTTAGCTAATGGGGCCTCCTGCGGCTGCAGTGCCGCTGGTGCACAATTTCTGTTTTCATCCTGAAGCAAAGTTCTTAACCCGAGCTACTATTTCTGGGTTAGCGGAGTCTGAAACCTGAAGTGTATGTAACCCGAGGGACCACTGTATTGAGGTTGAATTAGATGGCTGAGCATGACAGCAGCATATTCTGTGGCCCTTACAAGCAGAACTGGGCCCTGCCCTGGTTTGGGAGGGTGTATGGCATAGGCACCAACTCCTTAGGCCCCTAGATATTGTTTAGTAGGGGGCTTAGCACCCGCCCTCCAATATTGAGAGGGTGGAGGAGGCTGAGCACTGAGCAGAGCGCAGCACTGGGATAGACCCAGTTTCTCCAGCTTCTGGCATGGGGCATGGAATGGAGCAGCTCCTTCTTCCCCATGAGACAAGGCGAGCCAGGGGCACCGCTGACACTGCTGCTTGCACCGCCACTGCCTCCTCCTCCTCCTCCTCCCACCACCAGTGACCACAGCTTGGGCGAGTCTGGAACCCTACCATGGCTGGGGAGCCCTGCTGCAGTGCTTTGTTTCTGCTGCCCTCAAGGAGTGTAGCCCTCAGGCTGCAAGATGTTCCCAAGCCCTAGCATAGGACAATGCTGACTATAAGTAGAAGCTGACAGTATACATTTGAAGGGGGGCATTTTTGAGATGCATTGTGGGAACATGAAAAGAAAAGAAAAGAAAAGAAAAGAAAAGAAAAGAAAAGAAAAGAAAAGAAAAGAAAAGAAAAGAAAAGAAAAGAAAAGAAAAACTTCAGTGGAGGATAATAATGCATATGATTTGCATGCAGAATCAACCCTTTCTCCTGAGGGACTGCGGATTTTAATGAGCATTAAAATTGCTCATTACCTCAGAAAGGATAGTGTAGAGTTGGAAATGGTTCAGAAAAGGGCAACCCAAGTGATTAAGAGGGTGGAGCAACTCCCCTAAGAGGAAGAGTTACAGCATTTGGGACTTTTTTTTTTAAAAAAAAAAGTGACTTAGAGGCAATATGACAGAAGATTATAAAATTATGCATAACATGAAGAAAGTGGATAGGGAAAAGTTTTTCTCCCTCTGCCATAACACCAGAACTCGTAAACCAACTTCCAATGAAGTTGGAAGATTCAGGACTGATACAATTATTTAATTATAAGTATTTCAGCTGCGGGGAAGTAGACAATTTCAGGGTTGAAGGATCTACATTGTTTTTACTAGAACCCCAATACCCACCACCTAGAACCTGGTGCAAATGATACAACGATACTTAGAAACAAATCATTCTGAATTTGTAACAGAACTGAACAAAGCTCATTGTCCTTCCCTATAAAAATCCCACTTCTGATTACCTTCAGTCCTCTTATTTTCCGCAATTTATTAATATTGGGGGAAATCATTTTCTTGCCACTATTCTTAAACTATTTGGAGTCAAAAATCCTTGCTGTTCTATGCAAGTCACCCGGGGATCAAGACCAGCAGATCAAGACCTACCTTCTGCTCACCCCTGATTTTATTTTGTCACAGTTTCTGGGGTCCAAACCTCCTCAAAATAGGAATCAATAACCCTTGGGTTACTACCAGGCTAGGGATACACCAATCTGTCAAATGTTTATTTTTCTAAGTTTCTCATCCCCACCCCCACCCCTGCATCTTAAGTTCCATTCTTCACATTTCTGCATAAGCTTGTGATTTATTTATTTTCGGGGGGGGGGGGGAATCATCATGAAAATTATTTGTGTGAATTTCTCCCAAAATGCACATTTTTCTATGCATTTTCTCCTAATTTTTGCAAGCAATTTCCACTAATTTGTGCATTTTACTGTATACTTTCCCCATTATATACATTGTTTGGTTGGCAAACTGTACCACAAAATTCAGAAATGTGCAAATTTCACAGGAGCACAATTTCAATTTCTGTTTTGTTTCAGAAATTGCAAAACAAGGTATTTCCAATGCATTTCAAACTAATTTCTTGCTCATTGCTATTCCACATCACCCTGCATTCTGAGCATTCATTTTGATCTGTTTGCAGGCAGGTTAGACAACATCACATCAAGCATTATTCACACCATCCAGTGCATTTTCCTGTCCTTGGAAAAAGTCTGATCTTTTGGGAAAATCAGGATTGCTTTCCCCACTTCCTGCAACCTCCTCCCTCAAGAGGCGGCCTCTAATATCTCCTCCGCTTTCCATGACTCCCACTGAGCCTTTTACAAGATTCTCAGAGCCAGACACATCTCACTGTTTGATCTGATTGCAACTCATGAGTAAACTGCTAGTTTGGTGACTTCTTCCTCCCATTCCCCATATCAATTTATTTT